AGTTTTACAGTTTGCCTCTTATTCACACACTCAGATTGACCTTACGCCTCTCGGTTATTTGATGATCGCTCCAGCTCCTGACACACAAGAGTACTGCTCTCACTGTCTTCCTCTCCTATCGGTTCAAAATTCTCCTAATCTTCATCAAAAGCCAAAAGTAGGCTGTTCTTTCTCTGGGTTTGAGTTCTTAACAATGGTTGTTGTGAATATGCTGAACACCAAAAATGAAGACAGTAAAATTCAGGGTTGATATTGTAATTTTTTATTTCATTAATACATTTTTCATAATAGGCCAAACATCCTGGATGTGATCACACAGCTGTGAAGTTTGATAGAGCTAGGCTTAATGTCTGTGTGCCGAGCCAGACTAAACAACGTTTACTGGATTAAAAATAACACAATTAAAATCTATATCAGTCCTTTCCTCGGACTGGAAAGCATGTTTGAAGTCGGACTGTTCCTCTGATGCTTCGGTCCTTTATAATGACCTCACTATACATTTGTTAATGACGTTTTAAGTGTGGAGTTGGTTTCATGTTTTGTCTGAAGAACAGGAAAAAGTTGTGCTGCTGAACACCGTCATCTCGATGTGGAGTTATCTGGCCATCATCACACATAACCATTTCCCTCCCTGCTTATCACTTCCTGCCAAACACAGGGACACTCCTAACACACACACACACACACACACACACACACACACACACACACACACACACACACACACACACACACACACACACACACACACACACACACACACACACACACACACACACACACACACACACACACACACTCTTCTCATTTTTAAAAAGGCTACAGAATAAAGCATATATCTCAGCAGAGTGGAAGGGTGTCTCCAGGATTGAAAATATTGTGTTGTGGGTTTTTAAAAACTTGAACTACAATGTCAAACCAGTCCTTGTTTAAATTATTGTAGCGTTGCATGAACAGTGAGCTGTGTATAGTGGTGACCATGTGGAAACTACAGACATGCTGTCAGTTCTGATTCATCAAAATGCAGTGTTTCCCCTAGGATGGAGTCATAGCAGCGGTGCTAAGGCATAATGTGAGCGTGGAGCGCGTGGAATTTTTTAGTGTGTGCGCGTAAGAAGTGCGCCCCGCCAATTTGTTTCTATGTGTCTGCCAGCACAAGAAAGGCTCTTGAGGCCTAGTACCAGGGCCGGTTCTAGACAATTTGCTGCCCTAGGCGAGATTTTATATAAAGAATAAATGAAAAACCTCTACAAAAGACGAATACACTACAAAAACAGAAACTTATTGACATCGGTATATACATCAAAAAGGCTTCAAATGTACTATTCAGTATTGTATGAACATGTTTGAATTGGGGGGTGGACGTCACATCCTCTAGGGGGGTCCGGGGGCATGCCCCCCCAGGAAGATTTCTTTGAACATTTTACAGTAAAATGCTTCAATCTGGTGCAATCTTTGAGCACACAATTACTAGAGACCTGATCTAGGTGGTACAACTCTAAAACACCCATATGAAAAAGATTGGTTTACATTTTAATAATCAAATAAGTATATGAACATAACCAATAACCTACCATAGCCAATAACAAATAAATGTAACTTATTTTATTTTTATTGTTCATTTATATCTTATTTTACCTAGTTAACATTTATTTATTTATGCATATTTTTGTATCTCTCCAACTTTAAATGATATTTTTGGTTTACTGTTCTATAGTATACATTGGAATGATTTCAAACCTGTTTTTATTTATCCTAATAATTATAAAGGAGTGCCTTGGAAATATGTGTTTACATAATTTGTAAACACATATTTGTTTGAGACCCACTGAGATGACTTAGACTAAAGTGAACTATCTAAACCCTCAGAGAGTCCTTTATCTCACTGAGCCTCTCAGTCTGATGCTGATACAGCATTCCCACAATATGTTATGCTACGGACGAAAAGTTTATTATTATTCCGTCCAATTATTTTGTCCGTCTTCTCCTCCCACATTCAACATCGCAGAAACTCCGTTCAAACATCAAAACGTTCAGCTCGGTCGGGAATCGATGGCTATTACTTTTATCATTCATAACTTTCATAATTCCAGAGATACATCCCATAATACATCACATTTTTAACCATTGAAGTCAATGGAGATATTCTTCAGACTTGAACAAATCTTCATGCGACTTCAACTGCTAACTGTTCATTCATACTTTCACTCAGAAACCTCATTCCAACTTTAAAATGTTACACATCTTTCTGACATTATTCATGTAACACAACTTTTAAATCTGATTCTTACTTTTAGAGATATTAAACATTGTTCAGACCTTGTTAAAGAGGTTTTCTTCAGATTTGAACATTAACTAGAGTGCGTGATGTCACAGCTAGAGGGTAAGTAATCTTGAAATGTGCCTTCATATATTTTTTTAAAACTGCCATAATTCCCAAACCCTACATTCTTGAGACATAATTTTTCATGACAAACGTAGGAAAACATCTCGTAGCTTGAAAAATGACAAATAATTAAACAAAAATAATTAAACAAAATGCCTCTTGAGGGCATGAAGTGACAAAAACGTTCAACATGTCTCCATTAAAGCCCATTGTAATTTCAGGCAGATATTTCCTCACAGCAGCAGCCGCACACCTTTCTTAAACTGCCAAAAAGGCCACATTATTGACCCGAAAGTACACGAAAATTACACTTCAGATACTCAACTTCCTTGACATGCTTCACGTTTTGAAATCTCACAGATATCGTTCTTCCACAAAACGCTCACATGTAAGAGGTTTATCTGTCATTCAGAACAATGCATTTCATACTCACACACACTCTCTCTCTCTCTCTCTCTCTCTCTCCAATCTCACCATATGCCGTTTCCATGGAAACGCATCCCTCGCCATAAAACACGATGTTGTCGTGATACCTATGCAAATGATCCAAACACCACCAGACTTCAGATGACAGTTAATGGTCCAGCCCTCAACATGTCTATATACCATTAGTGAGTTTTCCTCAAAAGCTGTTGCCATGGCAACGCATCCCTTGCAATAAAACACGATATTGCTTTAACTCCTATGAAAATTGTCAAAAAGGGCTAAAACTTCACATGTGTGCTAACAGTCCAGCCGTGAAGACATCTACGGGACAGTTTTGAGATTTCTTCAAATGCCGTTGCCATGGCGACAGACCACTCGCCATGAAACACGATGTCGCTGTAAGTCCAATCGACACGGTCCAATCGTCCCCCAATCTTCACTTGTATATCACCGGTCCATGCCTCAACAGCTCTACGCCAAATCTGAGATCTCACCATATGCCGTTTCCATGGAAACGCATCCCTCGCCATAAAACATGATGTCGCTATAACTCCTATGAAAATGTTCAAAAAGTGCTCAAACTTCACATGTGTGCTAACAGTCCAGCCGTGAAGACATCTACGGGACATGCCGTTGCCATGGCAACACAATGCCCGCCATGAAACACGGTTTTCTCATAACTTCAGTGAAAATGCTCCAAATGGCCCAAAACTTCACAGGTTTGGTAACACAGCCATCAACGCATCTAAGCGTATTATGGGATGTCATCAAATGCTGTTGGCATGGCGACAGATCATTCGCCATCAAGTTAGTTCAAAAGTTTGCATTTCAAATATTCTGCTGCTTTTCCAAGCCTTTTTACTTTCTTTTCTTCTCTCATCACACATTCAGCTATTTGTATATAGGGGAAACACTGAAATGCCTTAAATATAAAACCCATTTGAAGAGCGAGTATACTCGATGCTGTGAGGCTGAGGAACAGCTCCTGGTGCTGAAATAATTAACTATTTCAAACCTCTATTGTAACCAAAAGAGACGAGCCTCTTTCAAACAAACATGACTCAAATAAAGGCCAACAGCTTCGTACTATGAGTGATGGGACAGATTATATGTGGTCCCTGTGTGTTAATGAGACTCAAATCAGGATATCTCTGCCATTAATGCTCTGCTTGCGAATATGTGTTCTGTATGTCCGAGCTGGTGCTGCCCTTCTACTGGACAATGACAGATCAAGTTCTAAGAATTGAAACATTTAGTGTGTTGTCTGATCATGTTGCAGGCTGTAAGAAACATATCAGGGCTGTAGACATTTACTCTACTCCAAATGTCCTCTTGTTTCATTTAGACAGAGTAAATGCTGTTGTTACACGGTTGTTCATGGGATCTGAATATTTGTTACTATCTTTAACATCCATCGTCTGAGTGGAGAAGCAGCTGAGGCCTGTGAGCCTCAAGAGGCACACTACAGTTTTGATGATACGATCAGTTTGAGATTAATCATGTGTGTTTGTGCGAGGTCGCCAGGAACAACAATCAGGGTCCCATGGCCTATCAGAGATCACGGACTCGCCCTGCTTATCTCAGTCTCTGCTCGGTGTGGCAGTGCCAGGATGTTGACTTCCACTGCTGTTGTTTCCAGAGCCTCCATTGTGTCCCAAGTGTCAGATTTTCACAATCCATAAGTGTAACATATGAAGACTAAATATTAGCGGATCAAACTGTGAGCACAGGGCTTTTTATTTAAGCATGTCCTGAAGCAGCGACATTTACCCATGATGCTGGTCGGAAAGTTTGGGAATAAAAAAAGAGAAAACAGAAAGTGCGGTGGTAATAACACCTTGATCCATTTGTGCCCCATCAAGGACTGCAGGGCTTTCCAACACTATAGTGTGTCATATTATCCAACAGACACATAGGCTACTCCTACTGTCATACCTCTGGCGTCACCACTTATATAAATGGATTATTTGCAGAGACATTAGTGTAATTTACCCACTGTGTGTGTTCCTGTGCGAGTGTGTGAGAGAGAGAGAGAGAGAGAGAGAGAGAGAGAGAGAGAGAGAGAGAGAGAGAGAGAGAGAGAGAGAGAGAGAGAGAGAGAGAGAGAGAGAGAGAGAGAGAGAGAGAGAGAGAGAGAGAGAGAGAGAGAGAGAGAGAGAGACTGCCCCCCACAGCAGCTCGTCATTTTTAGCTCCAGCGCGTGCTGTCTGTCTGGAGTTCAGTTCCGCGCGGTCAGTGTGTGTCTGAGTGTTTGAGTGAGGGTGTCAGCTTGTTGTCAGCATTAGAGGACAGGTTACCGGGGGCGGTGTTGGTTCAGGTGTGGAGGAAATGGTCCCTGCAGGATGGACAGGAACACGGATCCCGGCTGGATGGACCAGAGCACGGGTCCCGGCTGGCTCCCGGTCTGCGCGCTGCTCGCCCTGTTTGTGTGTGAGGTGAGCAGATATATATACCGCTGTCACGGTTTATAGCACGGATTTAGCTCTATAAGCTGCAAAGGACTGGTACTACAAGTATCTTAGAATGACTTGAGTATATCTACTTAGCTACTTTACACCACTGTTACAGGGTCTGTCCTGTTGTAATGTTAGTTTCAGTGAGATTACTCTTGGAGTGTGCAGTGGTGTTTAGTTAACTGTTTCTAAACACTCCTGGATCAAGTCTGATCAACAGTGTGGGTGCTTTTTTTTGTGATGCTTTTTTCAAATGATTTTAACTTAGTTTTTTGAATTCCAGAATAAATTGATGGTAGGCCTACTTGTGGGTTATCTGTCGCCCCTCTTTTTGTTGTTTTCACAGACTCTCTAAATATGCAAATTGATTATCCAACACCAAGTCTTACAGATTGGACAGCCTGTGCAAATGGAAATGTTTCAGAGAGTTATATTTTACTTGGCTGTGGTTTCATCAGATGAGCTGACGGCTATCCTGCCCCTGTGTCACCCTTAGACTGTAACAGAGGAAAGGGGAGAATGTTTTTTCAGAGACTTTTCAGAGGTCTAACAGGCAGTATGAGTATTATGGGGTTGACTGGCTGTCAGCCTTAAGGCGTGCGAGGGTGTTCACATGTTTACTGTGAACGGTGTAGGACAAGTACAACTTTATAAATAGTCTCACTCTGTGGTAACACGGGTACATGGTTCTTATTCCTGCACGTTTCACCAAGTATGAATTTAAACAGCTTCACATTGATTGAAGCGGTTTGAGAAGAGGGTCAGCACGGAGCTTAGAGTATTTGTTTCAGTTCAGATGTAATGTGCAGACAGTCTTTACGTGGCGGTCTGTTTGCTTCATATTATCAGCAGGTCAAAGTCTACACTCATTTGTTTTCATATCATATCATTCAGATCATTCTGTTAATCAGCTCCTTCAGGTAGGGCTGCTCTAGATGTTCCAAAGGAACTGACTTTACCCCCTAAACCCCCAGACCCTCACCAATTAAATTACAAAAAGAAAACTACATTAAAGGGATTCTTTCTAATGTCCCAGACGGGCATCTGGTTTATCTTTGAAGGTAAAAAACCCAAACTGTTACTGCAATAACACGCTTATAGAAATAATCCACCTTTAATATTCTATTGAAACCTATGACCTGTATTAATTGCATTATATCCCCTTTAAAAATGTCATCATAAGGTATAATAAGAGTAAAATGATATACCACCACTTCCTTTTGTTCATCAAAAAGAGTTTTAATAGAGTAGGAATATTATTTAGGATCCTGGCCTGAGGCTGCTGCGACCTCCACAGGGAGAACAGTTCTCTGTGAACCACCTCATGAAACCGCCCCCCCCTGCAGAGCAGCTGGCCCTGGAAGTAACTCAGTGCCATGCATGGAGCACGTCAGCTGTGGTCAGACACGGTATCCACACGGGGCAGTTTCACAGCAAGACATGTCCAAACACGTATAGAAACCTCTCAAACCAGTCCTGCAGCAACCAGCGTATCCACTGACCATCTTTATGCTCAGTATGTGTAGCAAATGTGTTTGATCTTCATATCATGTGAAGGAAAAAAAGTTTGGTTTGGATTGCAGCGTTCATGACTCATTGTAAGTCACATACAACATGTGTTCCTCACTGCTAACATGGACACAGTTGAGAAAACTATGGCACAGTCAGATCTAAAACACATCAAAACTATGGCACAGTCAATGTCTCCAGGTTCTCCAGAACCTCACATCAAAGTCCAGATGTATACTAATGTTTGCTGCTTAATAACTCTTTCGAGCTATATATTTGTTCATGATGTTGTGTTTCTCCCGCAGGTCACTGAAGGTGGACTCTTGAATATTGTGCAGAGACCAGGTAAGGGTCATCTTAAAGCTCACCTATTATGCTATATTAGAACAATATATTATAGGGCCATATCTATACAAAATATGACCCTTAAGTGTTCTGCTCAAAATACCAAACAGATCACCCATTGTAGCATGCCTCATACCCCTCTATTTCAGCCCTGTTACTAAAGTGCTGATTCTGGGTCAGACCCTTTAAATGTAACCGAGCTGCTGCTGGCCACGCCCCTTTGGAGCTGCTGCTGGCCACGCCCCTTTGGAGCTGCTGCTGGCCACGCCCCTTTGGAGCGTCCGCATGCAAGCAGTGAGCTCTGAAGAGAAGGCTGTCTACCAGCAGAAACTCAGCTAAACGCTGCCGTGATTAAACGCCATATCATGTTCCAAACCACATCAAGGATTATTTCTGAAACAGTATGGAGCTCAAACTCTTTCTCTCTCGCGGGTTTACCCCAAGGACAGTACCTTTTATATCCGGCTTCTTTACACATATGTGACCCGCTCTATCGAAATCAGTCGGAAGTCGCATTTTATTTCAAAATAAACGTTGATTTGATAAAAAACTAGTTTTTCGGGGTTCGGGTGTTTTGTTTCATTTTAAATAAACAAAGTCTTGGCTTTCAGAATATGAAACTTTTATTTCCAAAATCACCAGATAAATACATGTTTGAAGCTTGTAAAGGGAAGATGACAGGCACCTCTGGCTCGCACTCTGCTCTTCCGCAGCGGTGCTTCCCCTCCCTCCGGCTGAAATTATGAATGTAAGGCGTATAGTAATCATAGATAACACGGTAGGGTCCGTTACAGTTTGTTTTCATCTGATTTCAAATAAACAAAGTCTTGGCTTTCAGAATATTAAACTTACACAATACACACAAACGCAAAAATACACAAACACTCACACACGTACACACACACACACACACACACTCGTGAGCCAGACCAGTAATCCAAATGAAAATATCTTCCCTCCGTACTACTTTGATAATTTATTAGCCGCTAATAATCAATCAGATTGATGGATTCCAGAGAAGAGGAAACTTTGAAGGCCTTTTTCTCAAAATGATGACTCGGTGACAGTCATTATATAATGTGACATATTTTGCTTAATATTTGGAGTACAACAACAATCCTGATATCATTAGAAAGCTAGGAATCTCCTCTTTCCAACAGTGTAGGCCTATACAACTCAAAATGTGTCTTCGGCTCAATGCGACTGATTTCGATAGAGCAAGTCACATATTCTCTCCAGTACAGCGTTAGCTCTGAGTGTTAGCGATGCTTGCTAATGTAAACACAGACCATATTACTTCCAAAACACATTGTGCATTGTTTCTGATACAGGAACATTTCTGATATGGGATGATAGGTTGGGAGGTGGGCGGGACGTTGCCAGGAGTTCAACGTAAAGCCAGCCCACATTTTAGTAACGTCGTCATGACCGCAGCAAATCTGGATCAGCTCCGTTGTTCCCCTGTTTTTAGAGATGTGTGAGTCTCCTTACACACGGGGGACACATATTTATGTATAAAAGACACAACAACAAGTGCATTTTGCATAATAGGTGACCTTTAAAGTCTTTATCCATGTGTCTCATTAGAAGCCAAACACCAATATCTATAAGATGAACAAGACATGTAGGGCTCAAAGTGGGCCTGTTGTTACAGGTACAAACACAACTTATATTTCTATCGTTAGGTCTGAATTCTGTTTTGTATAATTTGTAGTTCCTTTTGATTGTCGGAATGTCAGATACAAGAAAAAGACAAACATTTGTAGATGAGAGTTATCATTTTTCTCCAAAAGCATCATGATTTACACCTGACTGATGTTTTCCTATCTCAGTCACTGAGTGGCATGTGTGTAAAGAAAAAAACATGACTGACATTAGCTGACTGTTCCAGCAGCAGCAGCAGCAGCAGCAGCAGCAGCAGCAGCAGCAGCAGCAGTCTGTGTCCAAACCCCTGTCTGTAACTCAGAGTCACAGTTAAGGCAGTGGAGTTCCTGCAGATTACCTGATGGTTATGCTTCATGACTAATGGCAATGAGGCTCCCCCACTAATGGAAGCAGAGCCTTGCTGACTTCATGCCTGTCAGAAACTCCCACTAGATAATGGATGAGTTGTCGGTTCAGTATTTAATGCTTGGCAGCTGTGTTGCAGTCTACAAGCATCTATGTGCCAATAGAGAGGGATAGACTGTTTCAGTTATAAATCACGGTTGTGTGTGTGTGTGTGTGTGTGTGTGTGTGTGTGTGTGTGTGTGTGTGTGTGTGTGCGTGCGTGCGTGCGTGCGTGCGTGCGTGCGTGCGTGCGTGCGTGCGTGCGTGCGTGCGTGCGTGCGTGCGTGCGTGTGTCTGTGAGTGGGAACTAGTTTCATACAGTCTGCCCAGGAAGCAGTTTTATAGATCAGGTTTACAGTTAGCTGTGCTTCTGGTTGCTATTAAGTGTCTTCCCTGCATTTCCTCATTGTCTTGTTAAACCACCATCTGCTCACCAGATGAACAGTACTCTATGTATACCAGCCTCATACAACTGGTTTTTACCGTCACTCCAGGATCCCATAACCCCAGGAGGAGTTCTGAAGCTCCTTCTGAACCCTGAAGTGTGAAAACTGGCAGTAGACCAATGACGATCCTAATGTCGACAAAAACAAAGGATCCTAATGCAGAAATAAAGCTAATAAGCAGCAAGCACTACACAGTGAGCAGATGGATAGTTTAATATAATGTGTACTCAGATCTGTTCTCACCACATGTGACACACAGAGGTAGAATCATTTGACAGCCTTCGGTACTCCAACCCCTCAGAAACGTCACGCAAACTAGTTTCTTTTTTAGCATAATTCACCTTAAAGTGTAAAGATTCACTGGTGTCCTGGAGGCCCTAATGTGCACGACACACAATCTAAATCTTACTGCACCTCTGGTTACTGGACTGACCGAAATGTTCCCACTGTTTGTGGGACAAAATTCTTCAATGAGAGAAAGGACAATAGAATATGTAGTCATGAAGCCATATAGATTTGGTAAATGTTTAATAATAATAATTGTTGTGGTTCCGGTAATGTGTGACTCACTGCTGTTCTGTGCAGCTCCTCTCTCCTGTGCACATGGCTTCACAGAGCTGGGCTACTATAACGGCTCAGTCTCCCTCACGGAGTCTGGCTCCCCCTGCCTGAAATGGACAGACTTCCCAGACTACATGCGGCAGTACCCGGGCAGAGGCCTGGGCCCTCACAGCTTCTGCCGGAGCCCGGACCGAGAGGAGCAGCCCTGGTGCTTCATCAGGCAGAGCTCCGGAGCCATCGGCTGGGCCCACTGTGACTGCCACCAGGGTGAGCCGAGGGGCGGGGGGGGTGGGGGGGTGTACATATGAACACATCCATATACAGCTCTGAACAAATGAAGAGTCCACTGCAGCAATATCAGTTTCTCTGGTTTTACTATGTATAGGTATGTGTTTGAGTAAAATTAACCTTTTTTTATTTTATTCTCTAAACTACTGACAACATTTCTCTGTGTTGGAATTTAACAGACACTGGGATGGAATGGCATTTCATAACGGGATAAAATCAAAGTGAATGGCCTGCTGCTGCTGAATGCATGGGGCAAGTGACTGGAAAAGTCACTACATAGTTTCAGATAATAATAATAATAATTCATTCTATTTAGAGGCGCCTTTCAAAGCACCCAAGGACACCTGACAATTCATAAAATATTCTAAAGAAGGGTTTAAGACAGTACAAAAGGACTATAACAGGGAACATGTTGGGAAACAGGAGACATGTAGCACTACAGTGAGTCGGCTGATCTGAACAGGTGGGTTTTGAGGAGGGACGTGGTGATTGTGTCAGACTGTCGGATGTGAAGGGGGAGAGAGTTCCATTGTTTGGGAGCAGCTAAAAGCCTGAGCCCCCATCGTGACTAGGCGTGGGGTCGGGACAGTTAGCAGGCCAGCAGAGGAGGAGCGGAGGGAGAGAGAGGGGGTGTAGGAAATCAGCCAGATAGGTGGGGGCCAGGTTGTGGAGGGCTTTGAATGTGAGCAGGAGGGTTTTGAAGTCTATCTGGTATTTTACAGGTAGCCAATGCAGATGGATGAGGATGGGGGTGATGTGGTCAGAGGATTTGGTGCGGGGGATGATCTGGGCAGCAGAGTTCTGAATGATTTGAAGTTTATTGAGGAGTTTGATGGGAAGGCCTGAGAGCATGGTGTAATGCATGGAGAATCTTTGAATCTCAAAAACGTTGTGTTCTGACTCTGCCACAGGCTGTGAGACACAATCTGCTGCCTCCAGCCTGAGCAACGACCAGTGCAATCAATATTCAAGCTACCAAACCTCTCTCTATGTATTGTAACTGGTTTACTTCATTTGCAGGTGCAGCAAGATTGGTGGGAGGGTCGTCAAGCACCAGCGGACGTGTGGAGGTCTATCTGAATGGCCAGTGGGGGGCAGCATGTGACTCGCACTGGAACGACCGGGATGCCAGCGTCATATGCAGGCAGCTAGGACTGGGGTGAGGGCTCCCACAGGGCACTAATTGTAACCATGGTTGTGAACAGCAATGATTCGCTGCTCACAAAGCAACACAAACAATCCAACTTTTTAGAAGTTCTGGTTTTAGTTTGAATCACTGCTTCTACTTTGGGCCCTTCAGGAGGAATTGGACTGGTTCAACTTGGTTTGCAGTTTAGTTTTAGTTACCACAACACACAACATATACATTCATTTTTCCTCATATCGTCATAGTCATATTGAGGCTGTGTATCCTGTACCACAAAGAGGAATAAATGCCCACACCGGGTTGTATTTGAACTCTCTGCCTCTGCCTCCTTGCTTGGTCGGGCCGCTCAATGGTCAGCTTCACACACGCCCACTCATGTTCCTTAAGCACTTTGGTTTATTGACCTTTTTTATTGTAAAGATCATTATGGTTCATTTATTCTATTCTGAGTAAAATTACCTTCTAGTTGGAGTGAAATGACGTTCGATTGAGAGTAAAATGGCAGTAGAGTTGTTTTTAATATAAACTACATAGAGTAAATAACCATTAAGCAGAGTCAAATCTAAGCACATAATAGAGTAAAATGAACTCTAAAAATACAACTCTGAACAAAGAGTACATTTGACTCTATATAGGTTGGGAATATTTTTAGAGTAAAATTTTCTTCAATTTGAGTCAATTTTACTCAGAGAAATGTACTGTGTTAGTAACAGGTCTGATTATAGTTATAGTTACAAAACACATTCTTATCAAATCAGATGGGAAATACTGCTGCTCTCTAAAATCCAACAGGAACAGACGCATATCAATATATCTTTGCACTGTCTCCTTAACAAGATTAGAATAAAACCAGAATCCTTGCCATCCCTGCTCAGGGACATCAGTGGGGGACATGGTGTTGCTAAGGAGCCACAGAGATGGCACTTGAATGAGTGTGATTATCAGCTGGCTGCTGGTTTCTCTCCCACAGGCCTCTTATGGTGCCAGAGATTATTGAGAGTGAATAAAAGTAATGTTCTGCCTTTCACTGACACAATATAGTGTCAGTGACACTGCATGCTTTCCAATGAGAGGGGGGGGTACAGGCTATCAGGCGATGACAGGAATGATGCTGATCAGACAGGGAGTCACCAGCTGTCAGGGAGCGAGCATCTCTTTTCCTTGTTTTTCAGTGGAGTTTGTTTTGTTCTGTCTTGGGAAAATCTAAGGATTTCAACATTTGTGAGAGCAGTGATAATAATAATAATGATGTAGGAGCCTTAGCCTAGAACTAAAGCTTATATGTGATGGTGTTTTAACTCCCGGGAATGTCTTGGCTGATGCGCTGTACTGTGTGTACATGTATATGAATGTTTGTGTTGTTGTTGTTTTAATGAAGAATCGGAAGGCTCTTTATCAGGTGCAGAATAATCCATTTATTTTCCATTGTTGTGCATTGTGAAAGTAGAGTCCATTTCCATTCAATATTCATTCGACAAACAACCTGTGTGGTACACACACTCGTGTATGGCGGTCGAAAACCATTTGCCCTTCCAGGGTCAGACACACCCGATCATTTGACAACACACATTAAACACCTGTGCCCTAGGTAATAGGACAGCGACACCCAATGGCACACAGTGAACAACATCAATCGTTGACGACTTCAACCCAAACAGAACACTTAATTGAAATGGCTCTTACAAATGATAACTTATATAGTGCCTTTCATAAACCCAAGGCCAGTGCTGTGATTGCAATAAGCTTAATATGTACATATGTATAATACTGTGAAGTCTTTCTAACTGTGAGTGTGTCTCTGTCCCTGCAGTGAGATCGGCACAGCGCTGCAGCACTCATACTTCGGCCCGGGGACCGTCTTCCACTATGAGCGTCTGGGTTGCCGTGGTAATGAGAATTCCCTAATGGAGTGCCGGAGCAGGAAGTTTGTCACCAGCGACTGCAACCATGGTAACGAAGCAGGGGTGATTTGTGCTGAACCTGAAGGTGAGACCTCAGGTTATTCAAACAAATCCATCACTGATGAACACTAACAGGTGTATTGTGGATATAACTAAGTAAGGGATAATGTGCAGCGAGGCGGTCATAATGGGGAAATGGGGAGTAGCCCGAAGGCTTATCACACATACTCAGTGTTGGGACTAACGCGTTACAAACTAACGCGTTACTGTAACGCAACTACCTTTTGCGGTAACTAATAACGTTACTAGTTACCTATTCCCATTCAGTAACGCCGTTATAGTTACTGTGATTTAAATGGGTGCGTTACTGCGTTACATTATGTGATCCAACTGAACCGAATCTCCCTGCGGATGTAATTTACAGGCGAATACAGTGATGTCCTCTCACAGTACCATGGAAAAGTGAAAGTGACCAGAGAGGAGTGATGATTGGTTAACGCGGGGTAACATTTCAGAGTAAGCCAATCAGAGACAGAGTTGGGCGGGTCTTGCCTTATGGGGAAAATACACAGACACACAAACACTTGCTAACACACACACATACACGGCAACGCCCACCACCAGCACACACACACACAATGGCAGATGCAAGTATCAGTAACATTTATAACCACTATTTTCAATTTGTGGGGATAAAGGACGCAACAAATATTACGGTCAAATGTAAACTGTATGCAGGACAGAAAGCATTGTCCACATCGAATAACAGCAATGCCAATCTCCTGAAGCACCTAACTAATGTACATGGGGCTATAAAACTAGTCGCCAAAGACCCCACCGTCTCAACCACTGGCAGTGACCCAGATGGAGCAACACCATCTAAACAGCCAAAAAACGATTTTTTAAAATCGCCACATGTCACCCAGAGTCAACTAAACAGATTGATTGCCAGGTATGTTGTTGAGAAGGCTACAAAGATGCCTGTCAAAATGTCTAAACATATCTTTTGTGTTTTATATTTCATAATGATAATTGCTACAATGATGGGGAGTTGTCTTTTCTCTTACTGTGCCACAGAACAACACAAAAACTTGTATTTTTATTGTTATTATTTTTAAAGTTAAGTAAAGTAACTTGTTACTAGTTACTTTTATAATTTAGTAACTAATAAAGTAACTAGTTACTTTTTTGAGAGCAGTAACTATAACTATTACTAGTTACTTTTTTAAAGTAACTTGCCCAACACTGCACATACCAAACGTATTAACGACTCGACTCCCAATATTAAGCGAAATGATTGTATTGACTTTAAAATCATCGTATTTCTTCCATTAAGAAAGAATGCACAATATATATATGGTATGATATGGCGTTTAATCACGGCAGCATTTAGCTGCATCTGAGCAGAGCAGACAGCTTGTCACAGAACTCACAGTGTGCCTGGTGCTCAAAAGGGGGCGGGGCCAGCAGAGAATCAGCCATTCTCTAACAGGGCTGAAATAGAGGGATATGAGGGATGTCTAAAATGCATGATGATGTTTGGTATTTTGAGCAAAACATATCATAGACAAGTTTTTTATATATTTGTATATATCTGAGACCCATAATATATGCCTAAAAATAGCATGATAGGAGATCTTTAAGGCATTGCACACGTTTCAAGTACAAATTATTAGTTTCCAGTATGGCCCATATCAGATTAAAAAATATTACATTTATGCAGGGCCACCCCTCCCTACAGGCCAATCACGCAAGCTGCATGGGGACCCGCCTTGCGCAGGGGGCCCTGCGCAAAGGGCCTCAGCTGCTGTGCGCAGTTCTCCGTGCAGTTCTCCGTGCAGCTAACCCTTGGCTTACATAACAGTTACAGTTTACAGCCTAAAAAACATGGAGCATTTTTTCCCCTTTTATTTCATTTTTATGTCAATTTGCACATTTCATGGTGATGCTCAGCCTCTCCCCTTAATTCCTAACAGTCATCATCATGTCAACCACAACACAGATAAATACTGATAGAAATGTGTGTGTAGTTGTTGATACATTGCTGACAGAGGGAACGCCGGGTTACGTATTGTAACCCTTGTTATATTAACACAGGCGGAGCCCTCTACTGGACTCTATGGGTACTACCTTATCATGCAAGCATTCACCTACTGAGATTTCTATAGACTTAGCTGGCCCCGGGGCGGGCCTACCTGAATGCGTGCGCATCTCACTTCCGTATAAAAGGAGGCCTCGCCTCCTGACCACCATCCTACACCACTCTTCAGCGAGCGGTATAGGACAGACAGTGCCCCCAAGGTAGAGGGCTCGCAAAAAAGTGTGCTCAAAAAACAGTGCTGAGGACTCCCCTGCGTCAGCCTTTAGGCAGACAGAGAAAGTCCGCAGCCCTGTATGGGTTCACTATGCACTCTCTCTCCTGAGTCCCTAAAGAGCACGGGGAGAGCGCAAGTGCCCCCTATGTCCCCCCACTCAGCCACTGACCCCGTGCAGAGTGTATATAGACTATAGTATGGAGGGCTCCTACCCGCCGGGAGGCGAGGGGAGCCCTCCAGCCCTGTAAGGGCCCAGAACACCTTACGTCACCCCGCGACCCTCCAGGGGTCCGGAGAAATGTAAGGGCATTTACGCCCGGGGAGAGGGTCAGATGCCCAGCTGTAATAGACATGTCAACTTGATGCTCTGCTCACGGATGAGCATACAAAACTGTTAAGATGATGACCTTACGTGTGTAAATATATTTTTTTCTTTGTGGGGGTCTGCCCCCAAAAAACAGTTTTAAGTCCTGAGAAAGTCAAATAAGACGGTGTGTAAAACTACACTGCCCACTGCCCAGACAAAAAAAAGTAACCACTTTGATTGAACTAGGCCAGTAGGTAAGGACATTCCACTGGATAATAACTGAAGTATAAAAGAATGCATGACTGAAGTGATGGAGACCATGTTTGAAGGCAAACAAAAAGAGGAAATAACAGGTCAAATCAAGCAAATCCCCCTCTCAGATTCCACAGCAACCAGAAGAACATAAATACTGGCTGGTGATTTGATGAATCAGCTTTGTGATGGAATAAAAAATGCACAGTGCATTTCCTTAGCTGTGGATGAGTCCACTGACACCACTGACAATGCTCAGTTGCTGGTGTTTGTGAGTTTTTATGATGAGGCAAAGGGGGAGTTTGTTGAAGATGTGTTGGGCCTGACGAACCTTAGTGGACACACAAGGGGGCAAGACATTTATAAAGCAATAATGGGAATGCTGGATGAAAGAGGGTGCAGCTGCCTTTATTCATAACTGTGCAGCTCTTACACTGCGACTCTGAGGGATCAAGCACAGACACAATAACAATGAAAACTGCTGCATACAGATTATTTTAGTTTTTGCAACCTTGTGTTAAGAATCTTGTTGCAATTGTTTAAAAGTTTGAATGACCGTAATAAACGGACCTTTGTCTTATTGAAACATTTTTTTTGGACCTTTAAGATTTGTATTTGAGTACCCCTGGTCTAGGAGATCATCAACCTCCCAAAGCTGCCACTACCAAAAACTGCTCTGGAGATGTTGTCATTTCTCCATGAAAAAGAGTTACAGGACTGTACCCAAATCTTTGGATTGCCCTCCGCATTGCAGTAACTCTTCCTGTTACAGTTGCGTCTGCTGAGAGAAGCTTTTCAAAACTCAAGCTTATGAAGACATACCTCCGGTCGCCAATGGGACAAGAACGCTTAGGTGGCCTGGCTATCATAAGCATCGACGCACAGTTGGCACCGCAGCTGTCATACGATGACCTTGTTGATGACTTTGCATCCAGGAAATGCAGACGTGTTCACTTGTAAACGCATACTGAAAGACATACATGCACATTGACCTGACTGTATAAATATGTTACTGTGTTGTTAATAATTTAAAAAAATTTGCAAACTACTTAGTCTCCCAACATTTTTTTTAATCCAAACTACTTGGTGTCAAAAAAGTTTTTTGGGGGGGGCCTCATCACACAATCTCGCTTGGGGCCTCAAGTTGGCCAGGGGCGGCCCTGCATTTATGTATTCTAATTATTAATTCATTAATGTCAATGTTGCACTTGGTAAAGGTAGATATTATTTAAATTACTTGATATTCTGCTGAGTAGCTTAACATAATAATACATAATGATTCATAAGTTGCTTGTATTATAAATCCATACCTACAAATTAGCTAGTCACTAAATCTGTAAAGAAATGTAGTGGAGTAAAAAGTAAAAAAAATGCCACCAAAATGTAGTAAAGTAGAAGTATGAAGAAGCATAACAGGAAAGTACTCAAGTGAAGTACAAGTACCACAAAATGTTACTTAAGTACAGTACTTGAGTAAATGTACTTAGTTACATCCGCCGCCCAGCACACAAACATACACATAAGAAAACAGATGAGACGGCAGCATGATGCATCTGCTCACTGAGTGTGATAGACAGTGGTTTAAAGTAACTAAGTACATTTACTCAAGTACTGTACTTAAGTAAAATGTTGAGAGACTTGTACTTTACTTGAGTATTTCAATCTTTTGCTACTTTGTACTTCTACTCCTCTACAGCAGGGGTTCCCAAACTTTTCAGCCCGTGACCCCCAAAATAACAGTGCCAGAGACTGGCGACCCCTGTCGCGGGAATATCTCCGCAATGGAGCGAGCTTAAGTTTAAAACAATTGATAAAAAAAAAAATGTCAATTTGGGAACCCCTGCTCTACAGTTCAGAGGTACATGGTGTACTTTGACTCCACTACATTAATACCTTTAGTTACTTTACAGATGTGGATGAATCATGTGAAATATAATCAAGTGTTAAATCAGACTTTAGTTCCACCTGGAGTAAATCCACAAGCTACCCTGCAGTATACAAAGTCATTCAAACTAGCTGCACCTTTACCAGCTTTGAGAACACTTTCATGATCAATCATTATAAAACATATCATATATATTATTCTGAAATGGACCAATCTGCACAATTACTACTTTTACTGTCGCTACTTTAACTATATTTTGATGAGAATACTTTTCTACTTTTACTTGAGTAACTTTTTTGAATGCAGGAGTTTTACTGTAACAGAGTATTCCTACACTCTGATACTTCTACTTTACTTTAAGTACAAGATCTGAGTACTTCTCCCACCTCTGGTGATAGAGCTTGGGCCTCTTTGGAGTCATAACTGTCCTGACAGGGTCTCAGTTTGCAGGCTCTGAAATGTCTCCTGTGGTCTTGGCTCAGTTGTTGCTTCACTTTGTTCCTCAGGCACTGGCCTCCCTTTGAGGCTGGTGGGGGGCCTGGAGGACTTTGAGGGCCGTGTGGAGGTGTACAGGGACGGCAGGTGGGGAACCATCTGCGATGACCGCTGGGATGACATTGATGCTGAGGTGGTGTGCCGCCAGCTGGGCCTGGGGTAAGAAACCCCTGCTGTGCTCCTGCATCACCTAATGGCCTCTGTCCTCCGTTCTCAGCTTCAGTCTGAATAAATGCTACACAGAAAAGCCAGGAGGTAAACCTGCCTACAGACACAAGCAGCAATCATACACTTACTGTATCAATATATTGTGAACAAAATAGCAGTGTCTAAATCAAAAATGAATATCTGATACACTTCATGACAATGATGAGCAACACTTTATTTGATCCGTTTTTACTCTTAAACTCAACTATCTTACTGAGCAGTGGAATGAGAAATATAAATGACAGATAGAAAAAACTCAATGTAAATGTAGACTATTGAAACATTTAACTGAAGAGAAACCACAAACAGAATAATTATAAGAACACTGTGAAACCATCAGGAAAATAATATTTTCTCCTTAAACCTGTACCGTATTCTCATGAGGTAGTTACATATTACATATTTTAGCATATATATTATTGATATATCTCCCCTTGCCCCAATGTATTCTATAGTTCCCTATTCACCAAACCATGCATTAAGACAACTCAGGACAGACTTTCATGCAGTTTAAATTATTCAGTTCTCCGTTCTAGCAGCTATATTTGGCATTGTAACATATTTGCACAACTACACAAACCGAGATGTGGAATGTTTTTATATTTTGTTTGCTGTGTACAGTGTTTATGGTGGTCTGTGATTCCCCCATCGCTGACAGAGTAGAAACATCAGGATGCAAAAACAAATATTGTTATATATTGTTAAATCTCTTTAATATAGTACTGTGAACAACAGTATATTACGCACTAAGTAGCATTTACCCTCATATTTTAATATTTACATATTTCATGTGTTGTCACCTTGTGGCATTTTTTTTTCCTGACCAACAGGGGCGTGGCCAAGGCGTGGACATGGGCCCACTTCGGCCAGGGGGCAGGTCCCATCTTCCTGGATGGGGTTGAGTGTTCAGGCAATGAGCTCTCCCTGGAGGAGTGTCCTCATAACATGTGGGAGAGACACAACTGTGACCACATGGAGGATGCAGGGGTCTCCTGCAACCCTCACACAGGTCAGAGAACACACACTGTCATCAGACTGGGATCAATCCTGTCCATCAAAATATAGTTAAAGTAGCGACAGTAAAAGTAGTGATTGTTTTCTGAATGGTCCATTTCAGAATAATAGATCTGATATGTTTTATAATGATTGATCATTAAAGTGTTCTCAAAGCTGGTAAAGGTGCAGCTAGTTTGAATGATTTTGTATACTGCAGGGTAGCTTGTGAATTTACTCCAGGTGGAACTAAAGTCTGATTTAAGACTTGATTATATTTCACATCATTCATCCAGATCTGTAAAGTAACTAAAGGGATTAAATACATGTAGTGGAGGAAAAGTACACCAGTTACCTCTGAACTGTTGTGGGGTAGAAGCACAAAGTAGCAAAAAATGAAATACTCAAGTAAAGTACAGGTCCCTTAAAATTGTATTTAAGTACTGTACTTGAGTACATGTACTTAGTTACTTTTCACCACTGTATACCAACGAAAGAAAAGGTTAGAAAACAGCATAATTTCTACTGAGGGTATATACGCAGTAACCCTTGCTGTGATAGAAGAGCTAACTCAAAGGTGATTGAAGCAGCTATAGGTGTCCCAAACGAGAGTTGTGATTGGCTGGTAGAGAATCCTAGGAACTGTTCTCTGCAGGGTTGGGTACACAAGTTGTTAAGGTCACATGTGAGTCATTAGTTCATGGCTGTCATTAAAGAGTCCCATGATGTGAAGTGGGCCAGCGAGGAGATGTCAGGACTGCAATGCTCTGTTCACACAACAGACTGCCCTGACTCTTCTTTTTAGAGTTCTAGTGTAGAGAATAGGAGAGCTGACGGCAACAATCAGCTTTCTCTCCTCCTCATCTGCTCTGTAACGTTGTGGAGTGGAGGGGAAAACAGATGAAGAAGCCTGTAAAGGCTGTTGCTGCTTCGGGGCTACTTTTGAATCTTGTGTCGTGCTGATCTGCACCAGGATGTTGTGAAAATCAGAATCAGAATATCTTTATTGTCGTCATACATAGGTATAACGAAATTGTGTTGGCATCTCTAACTGCAGTAATCAAATGGACACAAATAAATAAAAACAGTGATAAAAGCAGAGGTAGCAGCCATGACAATGCACTGCAATAACATTAAATGTCAATTTACATATTTACTAGGGCTGTCAAGTTAACGCGTTAATAACAACAACAAAACAAAAAAAATGTAACGCCACTAATTATTTGAACGTGCGATTAACACATATAATATATATAACTTTGGTGAGCCCTCTGCTTTTCACTTCAGTTGCATCTGACTTATCTTCTGACTGACAATCCTCCCATATTGTGATCTTAAATCTGAATCTGTTGCTCTGTGTGTCAGCAGACGGTGCGGTGCGCCTGGTGGGGGCAGACAGTCCCTGGGAGGGCCGGGTGGAGATCTACCATCAGGGGGAATGGGGCACAGTGTGTGATGACAGCTGGACTGAAGTCAACGCCCGGGTGGTGTGCAGGCAGCTGGGCTTCAGGTCAGTGCAGCACCATGCTACACCTCTGGGCCTCAGGACACGTGTACTACCCTGTGAGCTGATATCAAGATAAAGTAAAGATGCAATCAAGCACTGAGGAAATAACATGAGAGTAATGTTTTAAACCCCAAAGATTGAATAACAAACTGACATGTTTGCTATTCTCAGAGCCTTAAAAGTCCATCCATTTCCCCCTTATCTGGTGGAAGCAGGCTAAGTAAGCTAGTCTTTGTGCCCCCCAGCCCCGCCTCACCAGCCAGCATGTTCAGGGTCTGCACAGGGGTCTTCTCAGAGTTGAATGTGCCTGGGATACCTCCTCAGATATGAGTCTATAAAGCGTCCTGATCAAATGCCCAAACAAGCTAAAATGGCTCCTTCCAATGCAGTGCAGGCATTTATTCTCAGTCCTGCATCCTTACTTCCTACCTCAGCCTTCTAAATTCCTTATCAGACCTTAAGAAACCCTGCAGGGGAATTTAACAGATTCTCCTTGATCTCATTCATTGGTCCTCACTCACAGTGCATGATCGTTGGTTCATAGATCAAATAATAAATCGAGAGATTGTGTAACTAAATTCAAAACGTTCCTTTCTGTGGGCTGCGTGAATGAGTTCTAATACCTATCCATACCATTAATTCATGTATTTCTTAAAGTAGAAGTGTAGGTTTTAAACAGTGCATACACTTAAACTGATGTTTTTAGTTGTCTAAAATAAGTTAAACTGCTGCCACCCCACAGCCGTACATTGCCTAGCTTCAATGCTGGTCCTCTTGTGTTTCTATAAACTGCCATCTAGTGTAGGTATTACTCTATGGATGAGTTTCTCATAGAAACACACTTCAAACCGTCCAAACTAGCCCTTTAAGTCTACGCATGGAGATGTACCGACCACATAATACAGGGAGCAGTGGTGAGGGGGGGCCTCATGATTTGTAATGAACATCAATGCTGCATGTTGTATTGAGTTCAGTAGTTGTAATGTTAAATTGCCTTATAGGTCAAAGGGGTTTGCAGAGGTGCTTTAGGTACTCTGGCACCATGTGTTGCTTGGATCCAGAACATTAAAGAGTGTGTTGTTGACAGTCATACAAAATCAAAATGCTGATTTAAATTAATTTACTTCACCAACTGAGATCCGCCTGCAGGGGATGGTTTCAAAGAAAACACGCTCACTCAACATTTACAGTGGAACGTGGTTGCAATTTTCGGATTAAATGATTGATTGAATGAAAATGTTTATGACTAATACATTTAAGAAAACAAACTCATACTCACAGATACAGTATGTACACATAAGTTTCATCACCATCCACCAATATGCAAAGGCTTTAAGCCTTGTCTTTAGAAGTCTATAGAAAACCATTTGCTTCCTTCAAATCCTGGAGATGGAATTAAACTGATTCTGCAATATTTTGTAAAATGAACTAATTCTGTTATAACAGATCAGTCATTTCTGCAACCAATCTACAGATTTTGAAAACATAGTATTTGTTTTTGTTTAATTTTGTTTAATGTGGGTATAATCAGGGGTACACATAACTGGTACGCAGGTACGTATGCGCGGCAAAAATCGGAAATGCGTAACGTCACTTGTGTCACTACGCGCCTTTGCTTACCGACGGACCTGTGAAGCTTTTCCAGGAAGCTTAGACCACTGGACGACTAAGTTGGTGCCGTGTGCACAGACGGGGCTGCTGTTAACGTCGGTATGTACAACGGAATTGTACCTAAACTACGCCAACGGGCTGCGGTGGGAAAGTCCCCTGTGCACACTCTGTACCCCGCACACACACTGCAGAACTGTGCAAAATCACCTGATCACAACATTCACGCTCTGTGGTCAAGCTGCTGCAGCAGGGTGGAGCAAAACACACAGTTGCAAACTTCCTCAGGGTGTTAATGGAAGAGTTTGAAATCAGACTGAGGTGGAAGATGTACTCAGATCGTGTGTAGGAATACTCTGTTACAGTAAAACTCCTGCATTCAAAATGTTCCTCAAGTAAAAGTAGAAAAGTATTATCATCAAAATATAGTTAAAGTAGCGACAGTAAAAGTAGTCATTGTGCAGATTGGTCCATTTCAGAATAATATATATGATATGTTTTATAATGATTGATCATGAAAGTGTTCTCAAAGCTGGTAAAGGTGCAGCTAGTTTGAATGACTTTGTATACTGCAGGGTAGCTTGTGAATTTACTCCAGGAGGAACTAAAGTCTGATTTAACACTTGGTTATATTTCACATCATTCATCCACATCTGTAAAGTAACTAAAGATATTAAATACATGTAGTGGAGGAAAAGTACACCAGTTACCTCTGAACTGTAGTGGAGTAGAAGTACAAAGTAGCATCAAAGTCAAGTAAAGTACAAATATCTCAAAATTGTACCTAAGTACAGTACTTGAATAAGTGTACTTAGTAACTTCCCACCTCTGAAATCAGATATGACTTCAAGTCATGTGATCATTTCTTAGTATTTGATCCTTCAACTTGGCCTCAGGAAATGCAAGGACTTCACAGTTTTGGCAACAAGTTTTGGAGAAAGCAAATCGGAAGCTTAAACAGGGACAGTGAGGAAGACTGCAGCATCTTCATCATCTACCATGCAAGAAGTGTAAATAGAGGACAGTGAAGGAGACACTGAGGAGGACAGTGAGGAAGACTGCACTTATTAACACCACGCTACGTGTGGGGTGAGTACCAAACGCTGTCTCCTGGTACTCATCTGAGTAACTCACTAAAAAAGTTATGTGCACCCCTGGGTATAATGGTTTTTACATAAGGGAGGATTTTGAGAATGTTGTTCTCTTAAATGATATCCATAGAAAGACAGATGGTGTGTTGTCTGCAGGGGCCGAGCAGAGGTGGCCCCTGACCAAGTGTCTGAAGAGGGTCGGGGGCTGATCCTGCTGGACGAGGTGCAGTGCCAGGGACCAGAGGCCACTCTACTGGCCTGCACCCACTCTGAATGGGGCCAACACGACTGCTCCCACAGGGAGGATGTGGGTGTCCGCTGTGAGAGGGGGGGTGGAACCAATGAGATACCAGGCCTTACTATTGGTAAGTACACACCTTCACAGTCGGTGTGAATGTGTGTGAATGTTAGCTTCCCCCTGCCTCAGTATGAATGTGTGTTCATGGGTGAATGATGACTTGTATACAGTGGTGTAAAGTAACTAAGTACATTTACTCAAGTACTGTTCTTAAGTACAGTTTTCAGAGACTTCTTTGATTGAGTATTTCCATTCTATGCTACTTTGTACTTCTACAATTCAAAGGTACTCCACTACATGTATTGAATACCTTTAGTTACTTTACAGATGTGGATGAATGATGTGAAATATAATCAAGTGTTAAATCAGACTTTAGTTCCACCTGGAGTAAATTCACAAGCTACCCTGCAGTATACAAAGTCATTCAAACTAGCTGCACCTTTACCAGCTTTGAGAACACTTTCATGATCAATCATTATAAAACATATCATATATATTATCCTGAAATGGACCAATCTGCTGAGTACTTTTCCCCGTACTTTTCGCGTTTAGTTCCGTTAGTACCCCTTATGTCGCGTTCACACCAAAAAGAATACTGAGTGCCGGGAACTTTTACCCCCATTTTTAGTGCCTGCTGAGAGATGGTACTTTCCTGGGGGAAAAAGTGCCCCAGTTCTGATTGGCTGGGCGAATTGCAAACCACGCCCCGTAAAACTCTGAAATGTTTTGTAGAGCCGCCATTTTATTATCCTCGCATTAGCATTATTAGCATTAGCATTCGCCCAGCGCACAAACGCAGAGAGACTAACTTATGGCAACACAAAATAAAACATGGGAGCGGTGGAGATGAGGTGTCGGCGTTCTGGCGATTTACTCGGAAGGCTTCAGTAGAAGCTGCTGGGAGTCCCAGCAGCTTCTACTGAAGCCAGTCCCCAACTCCGGGGACCTCCGGCCGGGGACTTCGGGTGGCAGTATACACCGTGAAGTTGTTTGCGGCCTGCCAGTAAACCCAAAGCAGAAGAAGACGAAGTGACGTCAGCGGCTCATTTGCGTAATCTTCCCTCAGGGAACTTATTCCGGTGTGAACGCGATCTGTACTAAGTGCCCTGGGGTAATAAGTGCCGGGCACTAAGTACGGCAAAGTACTTGGTGTGAACGCAGCTAATGACTACTGTTACTTTTGGTACTTTAACGAATTTTACTTGTAACAGAGTATTCCTACACTGTGGTACTTCTACTTTTACTTCAGTACAAGATCTGAGTACTTCTCCCACTTCTGCTTGTATATGTAAAGAAGTCGAGTAGAGAAGTCGTAAAGACTGGATGAAGCGCTATATAAATGCAGACCATTTAAGAGTATTAAACATGTAGAGGCATCAGAATAGCCTCAGGACAGGCACATCATCAACAATACGAGGCATGTTTCCCTGAGATGTTTGTGTGCAGGCCCTCTGCTGCGATTGGTAGCTGGAGAGAGCAGGAAGGAGGGCAGAGTGGAGGTCTTCATCAACGGCCAGTGGGGGAGCGTCTGCGATGACGGCTGGAATGATGTCCATGCAGCTGTGGTTTGCAGACAGCTTGGATTCACGTGAGTACCATTACACCCTCACTGACATCAGGAAGCCCATGCACTTTCTAAATTGGAAATAGTTCATCCTCTAGAGCAGTGGTTCTCAACTGGTCAGGCCTCGGGACCCACTTTTTCCTTTGTCAATAAATCGCGACCCGAAGTTTTGAACCACTCAAATCTATTCAACAAAAAATCGTGCTGTAATATATACGCTTTTCAGCATACAATATGAATTAAAGTGAAGTACAGTGCATATATCCCTTCACAGAACTAAATAATGCTTTTAAATAAGGTTTAATGAGATGATGGAATCAAAGCTGAACTGTATAACATCAAAAGGCACACATGCTGAAAACCCAACCCCAGCAGGGGGTCTGGAGGGATTCTCCCACAGGAGATTTTTTGAAATACTAACATATAAACTACGCATTCTGGTACACTCTGAGAAGAAAATAAATAAATGTATTACTACCCGACATATTAATAATATTTTATGCCATTGTTAGTTTTTCACTTTGTTCTGACAGCTTGCTGCTCCACACAGAGAGAAGAGCAAAGAGGAGAGAGTCTGTGTGACTTACTTTAAATTGTGGGTAAGGGTAGATAGCTCCCATTGTTCTGTGACCTCTGACCTGTCAGTCATCAAACCGGGGGTCATATTTCATTATGTGTTCATTTGTATCTGAAGTTGTACCCATGGATGTATAAAGAATAGTTCTACCGCAAAGTTATTCTCCGTGGGGACTTCCGGCAACAATCTTGATTCTGATTGGCCAGAAGACTCGAAAAAACATCAGCATAGATGTTTTATTGAGAAGATGATCACTACGTGAGAGAAGTTTTCAAAACCGTTTATGGTCTCCGATACTTCCAGTCCAACGCCTACTGCATGCACAGCGTTAGAAAATCGGGCCTTCAAAATAAAAGTTTGACTTTATTTTTCCAAAAGAAATTGTATTTTGAATCTACTCTTCAAACACCTTAAATTAAGATTACTCCTTGATTGACTTTTAAAATATGTATTTTAGCCAGAAGAATGGTTGTATTTATTAACTGTGTGCGGTCTTCATCTAAAAGCCCAAATAAAATATATGAATATTGCTGCCAAATAATTATTGATTTGTGTGGAAAACATTTTCATTATTACGATTATTATTTTTTTAATCCTCTTTTCCTTTCTCTTTCTCGACCCTCCTTAGCAACGGTCATTACAGTCCTTGACAGCGGTCTGTTCTACTGGATTAACAACGTTTCACATGTTCTGAATTGACCAATCAGAACTTTATTTAGCCTCCGTATTGTTTATGGTTGAATGTGGGCCGCGAAAACCTTTCTGATTCTTAAGTGGGCCCTGAGTTGAAAAAGGTTGGGAACCGCTGCTCTAGAGGACATGCTGCTATGAAATCAGAACATTTATCTTTATTTAAAGGTCCCATGTCATGGCCATTTCTACTGATCATAATTCCATTGTTGAGGTCTACTAGAATAGATTTACATTGTTCAATGTTCCAAACTCACATTGGTTTCTCATACAGCATCTCTGTATAGTATGTGTATTCACTCTCTGTCCTACACGGCTTGTTGGAGCTCCTGCCCCCCCTCCCTGTGAGCCCAGTGTGCTCTGATTGGTCGGGACGTTGCGAGGCTCGCTGCTCAGTGAGCTGGCTTACTGGTGTGGTTTCCGGGTTGGCGATACAGCGCGAAACTCATCCTGAGCACACACAAACACTCACAGCCGAAGTAAAAACAATAAGTGTGGCTTGATATTGAGTAAGAAAAAGGTTTATAAACGCTGTGAGAATGGGTCTGCAGAGAGCATTTCTCCGCAATCCCAACTCGACTATTACCAACCAGGGAGCTCTATGCAAGTCAATGGGACTCCCTGTTAGTTGAAAATGTACGCTAAAGGTCCCCCCACTGCGTTTGATAGTGACGCCAAGGGATCCTGGTGTGTGAGAAGCGTCGCGGATTGGTCCATTTTGGTTCCCGGAAGAAACAAATGGAAAAAGAGAAATGTTCAACGAGGCGTTCTGGGGCAGCATAGACAGGTCTTTTCTGTGTTCGAGTTTTACTCGCTACAGGGTGTACTTTGAGGGTTTGTGACTTTGCAGACCGTTTACATGCAGAAAAACCTTCATAACACACAAGGGGACGGGTAATAACCGGAAAAGCATGACATGGGACCTTTAAAGGGGACCTATTATGCAAAATCCACTTTTTCATGTCTCTTCTACATCAACATGTGTCCCCTCTGTGTAAAGAGACTCTGAACGTTTCAGGAACAAAGATTCTCTGTCTTTTTGTCCTGATCCATTTATATAAAAACTAGGGCTGTCAAGTCAACGCGTTAATAACGCGTTAACGCAAAAAAAAATTAACGCCACTAATTATTTTAACGCGATTAACGCATGTGTATTTATTGTCCTCGGCCGCCCCGTAGTTTCAGAGCGCATCAAGTTTAAAATACCATCTACAAGCTGATGCTGACAGCCCCGCTCCTCCCGCCCGCTTGTGGCAGACCACACTTCCACGCTCACCGGCAGGCCCGGACTGGCCATCGGGAGGACCGGGAGGGTGTGTGTATGTGTGGCGCGACTCGAGCGAGACACACCTTACGTGTTGTTGTTGTTAGCATCTGGTGCTAGCTAGCTGCGCTAACGGATATAAGTAGCTGTTTCAATGAAAACAGAGGAGCGACATTTCGCCGACAACTGCGCCGAGCACTTGACTTTATGCAGGTAGCCAGACACTGGGACATTGTACGAAAAGTCAGCAGACTCAGCACAATAAATAAATGTATTACTACCCGACATATTAATAATATTTTATGCCATTGTTAGTTTTTCACTTTGTTCTGACAGCTTGCTGCTCCACACAGAGAGAAGAGCAAAGAGGAGAGAGTCTGTGTGACTTACTTTAAATTGTGGGTAAGGGTAGATAGCTCCCATTGTTCTGTGACCTCTGACCTGTCAGTCATCAAACCGGGGGTCATATTTCATTATGTGTTCATCTGTATCTGAAGTTGTACCCATGGATGTATAAAGAATAGTTCTACCGCAAAGTTATTCTCCGTGGGGACTTCCGGCAACAATCTTGATTCTGATTGGCCAGAAGACTCGAAAAAACATCAGCATAGATGTTTTATTGAGAAGATGATCACTACGTGAGAGAAGTTTTCAAAACCGTTTATGGTCTCCGATACTTCCAGTCCAACGCCTACTGCATGCACAGCGTTAGAAAATCGGGCCTTCAAAATAAAAGTTTGACTTTATTTTTCCAAAAGAAATTGTATTTTGAATCTACTCTTCAAACACCTTAAATTAAGATTACTCCTTGATTGACTTTTAAAATATGTATTTTAGCCAGAAGAATGGTTGTATTTATTAACTGTGTGCGGTCTTCATCTAAAAGCCCAAATAAAATATATGAATATTGCTGCCAAATAATTATTGATTTGTGTGGAAACATTTTCATTATTACGATTATTATTTTTTTAATCCTCTTTTCCTTTCTCTTTCTCGACCCTCCTTAGCAACGGTCATTACAGTCCTTGACAGCGGTCTGTTCTACTGGATTAACAACGTTTCACATGTTCTGAATTGACCAATCAGAACTTTATTTAGCCTCCGTATTGTTTATGGTTGAATGTGGGCCGCGAAAACCTTTCTGATTCTTAAGTGGGCCCTGAGTTGAAAAAGGTTGGGAACCGCTGCTCTAGAGGACATGCTGCTATGAAATCAGAACATTTATCTTTATTTAAAGGTCCCATGTCATGGCCATTTCTACTGATCATAATTCCATTGTTGAGGTCTACTAGAATAGATTTACATTGTTCAATGTTCCAAACTCACATTGGTTTCTCATACAGCATCTCTGTATAGTATGTGTATTCACTCTCTGTCCTACACGGCTTGTTGGAGCTCCTGCCCCCCCTCCCTGTGAGCCCAGTGTGCTCTGATTGGTCGGGACGTTGCGAGGCTCGCTGCTCAGTGAGCTGGCTTACTGGTGTGGTTTCCGGGTTGGCGATACAGCGCGAAACTCATCCTGAGCACACACAAACACTCACAGCCGAAGTAAAAACAATAAGTGTGGCTTGATATTGAGTAAGAAAAAGGTTTATAAACGCTGTGAGAATGGGTCTGCAGAGAGCATTTCTCCGCAATCCCAACTCGACTATTACCAACCAGGGAGCTCTATGCAAGTCAATGGGACTCCCTGTTAGTTGAAAATGTACGCTAAAGGTCCCCCCACTGCGTTTGATAGTGACGCCAAGGGATCCTGGTGTGTGAGAAGCGTCGCGGATTGGTCCATTTTGGTTCCCGGAAGAAACAAATGGAAAAAGAGAAATGTTCAACGAGGCGTTCTGGGGCAGCATAGACAGGTCTTTTCTGTGTTCGAGTTTTACTCGCTACAGGGTGTACTTTGAGGGTTTGTGACTTTGCAGACCGTTTACATGCAGAAAAACCTTCATAACACACAAGGGGACGGGTAATAACCGGAAAAGCATGACATGGGACCTTTAAAGGGGACCTATTATGCAAAATCCACTTTTTCATGTCTCTTCTACATCAACATGTGTCCCCTCTGTGTAAAGAGACTCTGAACGTTTCAGGAACAAAGATTCTCTGTCTTTTTGTCCTGATCCATTTATATAAAAACTAGGGCTGTCAAGTCAACGCGTTAATAACGCGTTAACGCAAAAAAAAATTAACGCCACTAATTATTTTAAACGCGATTAACGCATGTGTATTTATTGTCCTCGGCCGCCCCGTAGTTTCAGAGCGCATCAAGTTTAAAATACCATCTACAAGCTGATGCTGACAGCCCCGCTCCTCCCGCCCGCTTGTGGCAGACCACACTTCCACGCTCACCGGCAGGCCCGGACTGGCCATCGGGAGGACCGGGAGGGTGTGTGTATGTGTGGCGCGACTCGAGCGAGACACACCTTACGTGTTGTTGTTGTTAGCATCTGGTGCTAGCTAGCTGCGCTAACGGATATAAGTAGCTGTTTCAATGAAAACAGAGGAGCGACATTTCGCCGACAACTGCGCCGAGCACTTGACTTTATGCAGGTAGCCAGACACTGGGACATTGTACGAAAAGTCAGCAGACTCAGCACGGATAGTGCGCGCAACATGATTGCAGCATCCAGGCAGCTCCCGTTCGAGCATACATGCCTTGAGCTGCACATAGCTCCAACGATCCATCACAGTGTCTCTACATTCTCACACACACACACACACACACACACACACACACACACACACACACACACACACACACACACACACACACACACACACACACACACACACACACACACACACACACACACACACACACACACACACACACACACACACACACACACACACACACACACACACACACACACACACACACACACACACACACACACACACACACACACACACACACACACTTTGTATTGTATTATTGTATGAGAGAGGTTCCAGGTTGAATTGAGGCGAATATTTGTAATGTTCAGAGGTTGTTGTGTTTAATATTCATGAGAATATTTGTCATTGTTCAAATGATAATAAACAAACATATAAAGCATATTTGTCCACTCATATGTTGATAAGAGTATTAAAAACTTGAAAAATATCCCTCTAAGGTACATTTAGAACAGATACAAAATGTGCGATTCATTTGCGATTAATCGCGATTAACTATGGACAATCATGCGATTAATCGCGATTAAATATTTTAATCGACTGACAGCCCTAATAAAAACCTGTCTGAAAATGAGCTGATCAGATTTTGGCCACTTTATGATGTCATAACGATTTTTTGTCTTGTGTAACCATTAGCCAATCACCAACCAAGGTAACCCCCCCCCCCCTTATCACCTGAATCTCCTCCTAGAGCACCATTGAGTTCTTTTTAACCAAATATCTCTCAGAGCGGCGTGGGGAGGGGCTCCTTATTTTCATCTAAAGGCCCTGACACACCAAACTGACACCAAAGAACACGTCCCGACGGACCCGACTGCTGTTATGGGATGCTGCAATGATCTGTTTGGTGTTTCGAGCCAAACACTTCAGAGACATGTTCTGTATATATATGAGACCTGTAATATATTGATGAAAAACAGTATAATAGAGGACCTTTAATTTCAGTTTGTTATTTTTTAAAGCCTAAAGCATCTTAACTGCTGCGTTGATGGCCGTGAAATCTTGTACACACAATTGTGAACTCCAGAGGATGAATCCTGTTGGCTTCTGAGCTGCCAGTTCGCAACACAGCAGGTTGACGTCTTTAGTCCAGGAAAAGGATCAAAAGGTCTTGGCAATTTACTGGATAGGATAGCATTTGGTTCAAACGTTTATGTTCTGTCTTAATTACTTATGTTAGTCCTCTGACTTTTTCCATCCTGTTGGATAAAACTGTTCTCAGAAATACAGCAAACTGCTGTCATCTAACTGGGATGAAATAAAGCAAGAATAAAAGTTAATTAAATGATGCAGAAAGGAAGATTTGAAAACAGATTTAACATGACAGTCAATATAAAGCTTCTTTTTTTTAAAGATAAAAACTAGATGGTTTATACTGGTTTATATTTGATTTGATTACATGAATTAATGTTGAAGTTGAGATTTACCTGAAATATTTTAACTGCTACTGTGTAAACGGAAAAAGCACCTTATTGTTTAAAGTGTTTGCAAACCCAATGTTATTGCACTTTTGTTCATATAGCAGTACTTTTTAAATAAAGGTGTGCAATACACTACTTTTGAATTCATTATTGAATTTTGCTCATAACAATGCGATTAATCGAGATTTAAAATTATTATCGCTGCCCAGCACTGGAATTAACACATGAGAAGGTAGGATCACAGTCAGCAGACACAATGAAATACATTCACTTCAGTGCCCCTGAGATTGGAGAAAGTAATGTCAAACTGCATTTATATTTAAAACGTGAAAGATTCTAAAGATGCTGTGTGTGGTCCTGACCTCCAGCGGTGTGGCTAAAGCTCGCTCCATGGCGTACTTTGGAGAAGGTCAGGGTCCCATCCACCTGGACAACGTGCGCTGCTCGGGCACAGAGACGTCTTTAGGCCAGTGTGCGGCTGCGGGACAGGACGGCCATGACTGCCGCCACAGTGAGGACGCCGGGGTCATCTGCGACTACACCCTGGACCCTCTGGGGGCCGGGGCCCTGCAGACCTGTGGCCTGAGGCTCAACAACCAGAGGAGGCGCCGCAGGATCATAGGGGGGGATAAGTCCCTGAGGTCAGTGCACACACACACACACACACACACACACACACACACACACACACACACACACACACACACAGCTGCCGCTTCTGGTGAGTTTTAAATAAATATATAGCTAGGATAATTATTTGTATATTTGTGACAGTTTAAAGGGTTGTTCAAATGTATGTATTTTAAACAAACCCATGGGGTTGTTCAAAAACTGCTGCATGACAGTTAATTATTGACACATGAAATAAATTAAGTGTATTTTGGTAAATTATTCTCACATGTTAACTCGCCCAAAGCCCTCTGACTGACAGAAGCTCAGTACTGCTGACAAAGATGCGCTTCCTAGGTCGCCTCCATATCCCTCTTACATTACATTACATTGCATTTAGCTGACGCTTTTATCCAAAGCGTCTTACAATAAGTGCATTCGACCAAGAAGATACAAACTTGAAGAAAACAGAATCATATAAGTACAACAGGTTTCATAGAGCCAAAACATTTAAAGTGCTACTCAACTAGCTTTAGATAAGCCAGTCCCTTATTAAGTGCTTTGTTAGTAATTCTATCGCTCGAAGTGGAGTCGAAAGAGATGAGTTTTTAGTCTACGCCGGAAGATGTGTAAGCTTTCTGCTGTCCTGATGTCAATGGGGAGCTCATTCCACCATTTTGGAGCTGGGTCCAAAATGGTGGAATGAGCTCCCCATTGAGCTCCCCATTGACTACGAGGGGGACCCAAGTTCCCATCACCATTGCTGATGGGAACTTGGGTCCCCCTCGTAGAACTTGGGTCCCCCTCGTAGTGCGGGTGCAGCGAGCCGTTTGGCTTACCACCTTCTCCACAAAGGAACCAGGCACAATGCTTCAGTAATGACGGGCAATAAAAAGATGCTGATATTGGACGGCTAAGATACTGCTACTATGTGCCAAAGAATTTGGTTTAATATAATTCACATATCATATAACACTAAGGCACAAACTTTTTTTTTTGTGATCACATTTTTTAACCTGTTGAACCCCATCCCTGTTTTTCAGGTCTCAGGCTCGAAAATGACATTTCCAGAACAAATGACCATAACTACACTTCTAAAAGGGGAAAATTAATAATCTTTTTTCTCAAAGTAATGATAAACCTTTGAGTTGGATGTAGAAAAGTCAGAATCAATATAGATGTTTTTTATTTTAGAGAAAATTCAGATTGAACATAGTAAAAAACTGTAAATTATACTGTCCGTCCAAAAATTCTTTTTTACTTATAGTGAAAACCACCCTTGAATGATGGGATGGTAGACTACAAGCTTTAGGAATCCAAAGTACAACATATAATAAGTACCTTGTATCAAGATTGATGCAAAACAAGTGACATTTGACCTTTTTAGAGAGATTTAGCAACAAAAAAACACTTCTGCGGTCATTTGGGTGGATTTTCCATATCTCTGGCCCCCCTTGGTCGATTTTGCTGATTGAGATCTCTTTTCAACCGTCAGAGCCAATGGAATCGAGGGACATTTCCACATACACACACAGGTTACCAAATAAGGAGTGAGAGTGACGCGTAGAAAAACCGGAAGCTGCGCTAACCTCTGGTGGCTACCATTAGCAGCTAATTTTTATTCTCCGATTTCTGCATAAAAATTGAATTATGGATTATCAATCATTTTTGACAGACACATTGGATTAACCTATGGATTAACCTTCAGCCGCGTTTTTTCTCGTTTTAATGCCATTGAACACGACTTTTGATCAGAATAACAGCTAAGGTGAGACGATCTCCGTGTTTTGCTACCTAAAGCTACGTCGTGTGTTGTCTGTATTTGCTTCCCCTGTCACGAGTTCTGATCGCTCAGTGATGATCCTTATATTTCTATAATCTGTGGACTCTCAGGATGTTATCTAAGCTTGTTTATGCAGATCCAATAAGTATATCGATCGGTATAGCTAGAGTTCTGTGCAAACGGCCTTAATGATTTTTTCGCTCGTGGCTAATTCAGGGGCTCAGCGTTAGCTTTGTGGTTTTTTTTGCATAAAAAATGATCAGTTAGCTGAGTTTCTTCCCGTTACATGGATATGAAACATTCATAGTTTATTAAATATTAAGAAGCCCTCAGACGCTGTTTCCTGCAGATGACACGTTTTTCCCCCCGGTACCGGGGGGATGGGGTTCAAAATGTATTAAACAAATGGTACAATCAATAACATCAAATGCAATACAGTACAAAACAGCACAAAACAAATCGAAAGAAAGAAACAAAACCCAGTGACGCCCAGAACATATGTAGATAAGTACTAAAAGCCTCTACGTCACATAGAGTGCAATTTGGATCAGCAATTATTTTCATTAAACAAAGCTTCCTAGGCGTGAGGTAAACTCTATGAGTGAAATTATAATGTATGTGCTGGTGGTCAGGATTCCTAGAAGCTATTAGTATATTGGACCAGACTTCATCCCAATCAAACTCTGGATCCAGATCTGGGATATCGGCCCTTCATATCGCCTCTAACGCCAGGGGTCTATAAGCGTGTTGTGAAATGAACCAGTAAAGTTTGGAAACAAGGCCACTTGTACCTCTAGTGGAGTGTAGAATTGTATGCAGCGGGTGTGGTGATAGAGGACTTTGCAATGGAATACCGCTAGCCCTTAAAGCCGACCTCAAATGTAAATAAAAGAAAAAGGAGGAACGAGGTAAATCAAATTCTGTACACAGCTCCTGAAACGAACGCAGACCTTCATCTCCATAGACGATCCCCAATATATGAACCCCTCTCACTTTCCACTGATGAAACTGAATGGGATGGCCCCCAATCAACAATCTGGCATTGTTAAATAATGGGGAACATGGATTCCAAGCATAGGGGCAGCCACATAGTTTCTCTACCGCCCTCCAGACAGACAGCAATTGTGATACAATGGGGCCGAACCTGCAACGACACTGCGCAATAGGAATGTTCGAATACAAAAGATCTTGAAGGGTGTAAGGATGCACTAGACTCTCTTCCAGGGCCCGCCATGACACTGATGTCTCCGACTGGAGCCAGGTTAATAAGGGTCTAAGCGTGAAGGCCCAATAATAGTGTTTAATATTTGGGAGAGACAAACCCCCGGCCTGTCTGTCCCGCTGCATTGTAGAGAGCTTGATGCGTGGGCGTTTGCCTTGCCATACCAATTTCGTCACAGCTGTCTGTAGCTTGCTCCAATACTGAGTTGGTGGAGGAAGAGGTAGCATTGAACTAAAAAAATGAACTCTGGGTAGAATGTTCATCTTGATTATTGATACACGGCTGCGAAGTGAATTAGGAAGTGAGGACCATCTATCCAAATCAGAAATTATTTTATGAAGCGTGTTACCATAGTTATTTTTAACTATTGTCTGAATCGAAGGAAAAACGTCTATCCCCAGGTATGTAAAAGTTTTGACAACTGGGATAGATGGAGAGACAGGTGCATCGATCATTGCCTCGTTCAGTGGCATCAAAGCAGATTTCTGCCAATTTATCTTAAACCCAGAAAGCTGACCATATCGATCGACAATAGACAGTATTCTTGGGATACATTGTACAGCATTGCCCAAATACAATAGCACATCATCAGCATATAACGAAAGATGATGATGCGTACCATTAATAGAGATTGGGGATAACGTGACTGACGAATGGTCTGTGCCAGCGGCTCAAGTGACAGCGCAAATAGCAAGGGGCTTAGCGGATAGCCTTGCCTTGATCCTCTCGAGATAGCAAAAGATGGGGAGCATACCTTGCCTGTAAGCACCATAGCTGTTGGGTTTTTATATAGCACCTTGACCATGTCAATAAAAGGGGCGCCAAAGCTCATTGCCCCGAGTACCAACCACAAAAAGGGCCATTCTAGGCGATCGAAGGCCTTCATCGCATCAAGTGAGAGAACTGCAGCTGGGGAAGGTAGATGTTGGGCCCCATCTATGATGTGTAATAGCCTCCTTACATTGTCAGCGGCTAGCCTGGATTTTATAAAGCCTGTCTGATCGCTATGTACTAGATCCGTCATGTGAGACTGAAGGCGCCTAGCCAGCACTTTGGCATAGATCTTTACGTCAGTGTTTAAGAGTGAGAGGGGCCTGTAACTAGTACACTCTGTCGGATCCTTGCCTTTTTTAAGAAGCAAGGATAACAGGGCAGTGTTGACGTCTCTCAAAAATGAACCCTCCTTAATAGAAAATAATATCATCTCTACAAGCAAGGGGCCGAGCAAGGGCCAAAAGGTGAGATAACATTCGGGTGGAATACCATCTGGGCCTGGCGACCTGCCCTTACGCATGTCCATTACTGCTTTCTCAATTTCGTGGTGTGTGATGGGGGCATTCAGATTTTCAGAGTCGCTGACAGAAAGAGACTCCATTTGGATATTATTTTAAAAATCATCGCATGGACAAAGCCACTCTCCGAACTGTACAGATCCTTGTAGAAAGAAACAAAGGTGGTGTTCACGCTCTTGGGATCGGTTAGAACAGTGCCATCTATAGATTTAACACTAAAAATATCAGCAAAATGTTAATTGGTCCGAAGCCTCAAGGCCAGCAGGTGGCTAGGTCTGGCGGAGTGGAAGTAGTAAGTCTGTCTGGTTCTGTGCATAAGAAATTCTGAACGGCGTCTGAGGAGAGAATTAATTTCTTTTTTGATCAGGTCTTTTTGGAGCGCAACAGAAAGCAGCATATTTTAGTTCTAATGCTTCCAATTTAGCTGCACGTTCCTTGTTTCGGGTGGATGCGTACAGAGTGGTGTTGCTTCTAATAAAGCCCTTTGTTGCCTCCCACAAAAATCTCGGGTCAGACACTGACCCCTTGTTGAACCCCAGAAACTCGCGGAGGTTAGTCTCAAACTGAGACTTGTATGTTTCGTCACGCAGCAGTGAGGAGTTAAAACGCCATCTGGGAGCTCTAGTGGGGACAGCCCTAAGTGTGACAGAACAGTAGATGGGTTTGTGATCAGTCCATGTAACTGGTATATAGAAAGCCTTCCGAACATTATGAAATAGATCTTTGGACGCAAAGAGAAAATCTAGCCTAGAAAAGGATTTATGTCTACCTGAGAAAAAAAGAGTAATCTTTTATGGAGGGATTCTTCACACGCCAGATGTCTATCATATTTGTTTGGGCCGCCCACTGGCGTAACGCATCAGAAGCGAGACGTTGGTCTCTACTCTCTGCCCCACCCGTTCTATCCATGTTGCTATCCCATATTGCATTGAAATCTGCGCCCATAACCAGACGAAAGCCTGTGAGATCCCGTAGAGTTTTGGTTAATAGGTCATAAAAGCCAGCCTCGAAAGTGTTGGGAGCATAGGCAGAAATCAATGCAATATTCTGCCCGTCCAGACGAATCTTGGCAATGGCCAGTCGCCCCTCTTTGTCCGTCCAAGAGCCGATCAGATCAAATTTCAGCTTGCGCCTACAAACTATCATCACACCCTTGGTCTTCGTAGGAGCAGACGAAAAGACAATACGGTGATAGAGCCTATTTGCAAAGCGGGCCGCATCCTTGCGGAGTAAATGTGATTCCTGTATCATGGCAAAGTCAATATTTATCTTATGCAAAAATCCTAAAATAGTGGTCCTGTGGGATATTGAGTCCCCTGGCATTAATGGAAATCAAATTGAGATTAGTCATAAGTAGAGTAGTGTAAGAATACAATATAGAGTATAGTCACCTCAACAAGCAGGATATGGTGATCTGGATCCCAAAAACAACCTTCCCCAAAAAAGAAAAAACATAAAACATAAACAAACTCAAAAACAACCCAAGAAAAGTGAGGAGATACACCACTCCTCGACATTCCTGATAAGTCCCTAACTGGACAAACAACTAAAATCTGGGAACTCTAACTGCCTAAGAGGGGCAGCACCATCACCAGCCATTAGAACAGGTGATATCTGTTAACCTGTTAAGCCCGAGAGACCCCGGTACCGGGGCACTGCCGCAACATCTTGCAGGAAACAGTGTCTGAGGGCATGTTCATTTAATAAACTATGAATGTTTTATATCCATGTAACGGGAAGAAACTCATCTAACTGATCATTTTTATTTATTTTTCAAAAAGAAAAACACAATGCTAACGCTGAGCCTTTGAATTAGCAACGAGCGAAAAATGCTAACAGATTACTGCACCGGAAATCACTCACAAAACCTTATTATTTATCTTTTCTCCACATCCATGACATCGTTTCACATTGTGAGGTGACACAGAATCGAAGGGTTATAAACAAAAACAGACATCAAAACATGTGGCGCTAGGTAGCTAAAAATGCTAACATGATTACCTTGGCTCTGTAGTCTGCTCCAAAGTGGTCTTCAATGGCATTAAAACGATAAAAACGCTGCTGAAGTTAATCCATATAGGTTAATCCAATGTGTCTGTGTCCCTTTGAAATGATTTCTGATAATCCATGAGCAATAAAACTGCTTTTCCGTTTCTAGATGTCAGAGCTAGAGTGTAGGTTCACTCTCATGCAAAACTACATGCGCAAAGCCCCCACCTTTTTGTTTTACAACGAGTGTGTGTGGGGGACTCCCCCTTCGATTCTATTGGCTCTAACGGTCAGAAAGAGGTGTCAACCATCAAAATCGACCAAGGGGGGCCAGAAATATGGAAAAAAAAACATTTCCACCCAAATCACCTCAGAGGTGGAGTGGTTTTGGCTAAACCTCTCTAAAAAGGTCAAATGTCACTTGTTTTGCATCAATCTTGATACAGGGTACTTATTATATGTTGTACTTTGGATTCCTAAAGCTTTTAGTCTACTAACCCATCATCCAAGGGTAGTTTTCACTATAAGTAAAAAAATATTTTTGGACAGACACTATAATTTACAGTTTTTTACTATGTAAAATCTGAATTTTCTTTATAATAAAAAACATCTATATTGTTCTGACTTTTCTACATCCAACTCACAGGTTTATCATTACTTTGAGAAAAAAGATTATTAATTTAACCCTTTTAGAAGGGAAGATATGGTCATTTGTTCTGGGAATGTCATTTTCGAGCCTGAGACCTGAAAAACAGGCTCAGGGCTTAACAGGTTAATTGCTAGACAACGATCTACCGAACTGCTGAGCAACGCATCAGCGTAGTGAGTCATCAGAACACATTCAAAAGATCCATCACAACATAAAATAATCAAGATAAAAATAAAAATGTGGGCAAGTAATGTAAGAACATGTGAAATAAACGAAAAAAGAGATACAACGAGATAGTAGTTTGTACCACTTTGACATGGAATGTCGATATACGCCCAGCCGTACAGCCTGCCCGGCACCCACACACACACACTCGCACCAGCACTCTCTCACCAAGCCTATACACATCAGCGTCCGTACACTCTTAACTCCATCCCGCGTATATAGGCACAAACACAGGCCGCGCGCGGCCACCACGCCAACCATCTACCCGCAGGCACGGATGCGCAATTATGGCACTTTGGGAATCCCATACATAATAGACACCCACACTCACAAATACACCGCCAGCGCGACAACCACACACGCAGCCCACACATACACACAGGACAAATTATGCTTGGCTAGGAATGCAAGAGAAAGACTTAACGGTCTACATATGGTCAGTGGTGCATAATAAAAGAATGAAATAAATAAATGTAGAAAGAAAAAAAAAACATCAACAACAACAGACCCATTGAATTGGAGTATAAAGCAGTCCAAAAACGATGGTCTACGTATACGGCCCGCGGGCCGGGGTTCCCCACCCCCGGTCTACGCCGCATCTAGGCAGACAGCGTAACTGAAACTTCAGGTCATTCGGGTAAGCACGTCGGCTAGCTGCTCCTCAACAGCAACAACTGCTCTCCGCGTTTCCGATAGTTCTTTCCGAAGGTCAGTAAAGTGCTTTGTTTGGTCCTCAGATAGCTTTTGAAGAAGATCGAGAATTGCGGTGTTGGTAGGCTCAGTAGCAGCTGGGTCCAACACCGAAATGTCCGGTGAGACATTCGCAGGCTTCGAGCTAGCATTAGCCTTGAGAACCAGGTGTTGTTGAGTTGCATTAACTACGGCTTTCTGAGGTTTTTTAGTATTCGGCATTTTTTAATGTAACAGATGACTATTGGGACTAATAACTCGTGATTGAGATAAAAAGTATCACTGATAGTAAGATATTTAAACAAAATAAATGGTGATGGCGCCGGAGCCACGAACTTAAGCAGCCATCTTCCTCGACGTCGTCACTGCCCCTCCCTAAGGCACAAACTTATAAACAGCAACACCTAAGCTTTAGTTACGGTGTATTAGACAGAGCTTTACGTTTTTGTTTTGTTTTATTTAAGCTAATGTTAGTGATTTGTAAAACAAAAATTGAAAAAGGGCACTTCTCTAATAGGAAGGCAAAATGGCAGGAGCTCGAGCCCCCTTTGAGGACGATCTGTGCCTGCCCGGCAGTCAGAGCTTGATTTACTGTCTTGTGTGTAAATGTTTTATATACAGTAATAGTCAAAAGAAGATGTATGTGTGTGTGTGTGTGTGTGTGTGTGTGTGTGTGTGTGTGTGTGTGTGTGTGTGTGTGTGTGTGTGTGTGTGTGTGTGCGCGTGCGTGTGTGTGTGTGTGTGTGTGTGTGTGCAGGGGGGAGTGGCCCTGGCAGGTGTCAGTGTGGCTGCGCTCTCAGTCCAGAGGGGGCCACCCTCTGTGCGGGGCCTCTCTGATCGGGCACTGCTGGGTGCTGACGGCCGCTCACTGCTTCAAGAGGTAGGGGACAGAGCCCTCTGGTGGACACCTTTCAATGTTTTCAGTTGGTAACACATAATGTTGACATGGAACAATATAATATGTCATTTTGGTAATATCATTTTGAAACAATATATTTATATTTTAAATAATGTTTTTTAGTTGAGTCAACTATAAATAATGAGAAATCCAAAGGACTCTCTGCTGTTAACCTTTTGGCAGTGTTTTTGATGCTTTATCCTGTTACATTGAATGGTCTTCTCTGTGCCCTGCATTGTAGTAAATGTACTTTAATATTAAATAATGATCAATAACATACTTGCTTTGCTCCTCCAGATTTGGCAGTGACCCGACCCGCTACGTGGTGCGCCTTGGTGACTACCATACCGAGGAGCAGGATGACTTTGAACGCACCTTGTCACCTGAACGCATCGTTATCCACAGGAAGTACCACAGTCAGGGCTGGGAGCACGACATCGCCCTGCTGCGGCTCAAAGGCACAGAGGGCAGCTGTGTGGCGTTCAACCCTCACACTGCAGCCGTGTGTCTGCCGCAGGCGGGCAGACGACGGGAGAAGAGGCCTACCGCCTGCGTGATCACCGGCTGGGGCCTCACAGGTAACTTCTTGCTGCACCATCTGTTCCTCTTTCATCCCAACATCACCCAACGTCTTTATTTTACCGTCAGAATCAGAACCAAACGTGATGGCATGTTAATGACAACCAGGGAATAAGTTAAAGAAGCATCACTGACACCGAGTGAGTCCAAGCACACAAGCTTATTGCTCTAAATATCAACGTGTTGCTTTAAAATTAAACAGTGTACAGTGGCGGCTGGTGGAATTGTCTCTAGGTAGGGCTGTGCCACATGCAATCAATTTCAGCAAACATCCCAGTATGACTTAATGCAAAAAAAAACAGGACTTTTCAGTGTTCATTTACCAGTCTTAAATTGTAATGCCTCCATAAACAATTTAAAGGGGACCTATTATGCAAAATGCACTTTTTGATGTCTTTTATACATAAACATGTTTCCCCGGTGTGTAAGGAGACTCACAAAGTTTCGGAAAATACAACCCTCTCTCTTTTCCTCCTTACCCACATCTCTAAAAAAAAAAAAAACGGGGGTGCAAACGAGCAGATCCAGGATTTGGCTCCTATGACGTCAATGGCGAAATGTGGCACACATGACACGTCCCAACCTATCATCTCCGGCACACGTGACACGTCCCAACCTATCGTCGTCTATCTGAATACCCTCTCGCAGCTGTGTGTCTGTTTATTCAGCAGGATGTCTGCAGGAGGCACTTAGAGGAAAGTTGTTATATATAATACATATTGAGTGATCCAGATGCAGACACAAACAGATGATTTCCGGTCCTTTGCTGCAGTTTAGAATTATGTTTATGAGCGTTTACATACCAAGGTTTAATTATTCTGTCAATGGTTGTGGTATGAGCATCTGCCGGGCTGGTGGAATCGGTATGCTCTCTTCCTCCTGTGTCCTCGCCCTTTCCGGTCACCTATGACCCCTTTTATACACCCAGTGAAGCTAACCCCCGCCACCAAGTGTCCAAAATAATATTGCAGTATAAATATAAATTAAATAAACTGACACGCCAACTACACCCATAAAATGGTTCCTACACATATAATGGCACTGTTCTAGCGGTAAACACTTCAGAAAGAACATGTGAAGCTATGTGCTATATCAGAAACAGGGTTGGAAGGGTTACTTTGTAAATGTAATTAGTGCCTGAATACTGAATATATGGCTCTGAAAGTAATCGGAATACAACTACGTGTCTTAAAAAAGTAACGTATTCCGATTACTTTTAGAATACTTTTGGAATACTTTCTTTTTCCATAACAGATGGGTATGTTTTGGTGTACAGGAGACACTTATTTTACTGTTTTAATGGCTTATCAAGAGCACAACTCAAACACAACATCTTGGTGTCATTCTGGACCGCTCCCTCTCATTTGCACCCCACATAAAAAACATCACCCGGACTGCATTCTTCTCCAGTCTCCGCCCTGTCTCAATCCAGCACTGAAGTCCTGGTTCATGCATTTGTCACATCCCGTATTGACTATTGTAATACCATGCTCTCAGGCCTTCCCATCAAACTCCTCAATAAACTTCAAATCATTCAGAACTCTGCTGCCCAGATCATCCCCCGCACCAAATCCTCTGACCACATCACCCCCATCCTCATCCATCTGCATTGGCTACCTGTAAAATACCAGATAGACTTCAAAACCCTCCTGCTCACATTCAAAGCCCTCCACAACCTGGCCCCCACCTATCTGGCTGATTTCCTACACCCCCTCTCTCTCCCTCCGCTCCTCCTCTGCTGGCCTGCTAACTGTCCCGACCCCACGCCTAGTCACGATGGGGGCTCAGGCTTTTAGCTGCTCCCAAACAATGGAACTCTCTCCCCCTTCACATCCGACAGTCTGACACAATCACCACGTCCCTCCTCAAAACCCACCTGTTCAGATCAGCCTACTCACTGTAGTGCTACATGTCTCCTGTTTCCCAACATGTTCCCTGTTATAGTCCTTTTGTACTGTCTTAAACCTTTCCTTAGAATATTTTATGAATTGTAAGGTGTCCTTGGGTGCTTTGAAAGGCGCCTCTAAATAGAATGAATTATTATTATTATTATTATTATTATCTGAAACTATGTAATAACTTTTTCCAGTCACTTGCCCCATGCATTCAGCAGCAGTAGGCCATTCACTTTGATTTTATCCCGTTATGAAATGTCATAATTTCAACAATAAAGAAATGCTACATAAACGTTATCTTGCACATTTTATCGAACCATCTCCGTTTCTAACTTTCAATATATTTTAAAAGAGATCTCTCTCTCTCATCTGCGTGCGGGGGCGGGGCCTCACAGACACGCTGCATCTCTCTCTCTCTCTCCCTCTCTCTCTCGCGCTCACAGACATGCTGCAGCGCCGTGCACTGCATTATCTGCCGGTAATGAATATTACATTTTGTGAGGAAACCTTTCCACCAATAATTCCAATAAGTATTCCAAAATGTATTCACTTCAGGTTTACGAAAGTAACTATAATCAGATTACTCGTTTTTCCAATACAAAGTTAAAGTAACTAAAATCAGATTACTCGTTTTTCCAATATAACGCGAGCTGAATACAGTTACTTGATTTTTGTATTCTGATTACATAACGCCGTTACATGTATTCCGTTACAACCCAACCCTGATCAGAAACAATGAGCGCCGTGTTTTGGGAGTAATATGGTCTGTGTTTACATTAGCAAGCATCGCTAACACTCAGAGCTAACGCTGTACTGGAGAGAATATGTGTAACGTAATGTCCTTGCGGTAAACCCTGCGAAAGAGAAACGTTTGAGCTCCATACTGTTTCAGAAATAATGCTTGAAGTGGTTTGGAACATAATATGGCACTTAATCACGGCAGCGTGTAGCTGAGTTTCTCCCGGTAGAAAACTTTCTTAGCAGGGGAAAGCTGCGTGACGCTACAAAGGGGCGTGGCTAGCAGCAGCTGTTCCATTTAAAGCTACGGTCACAGAATCAGCCTTTTTGGAACAGGGCTGGAATAGAGGGGTATGAGGCATGCTACAATGGGTGATCTGTTTGGTATTTTAAGCAAGACATGTTTTGTATAGGTATGGCCCTACAATATATTTTTCAAATATAGCATAATAGGTCCCCTTTAAGCATTTGAGACTGAGGACTATGTACAAAGACTTTAAAACAATGGCATTAGAAATACTTTCATACATATATGTATTGTTGTGATATTAGGGTCATGCAGAGGCAGATCGCTATCCCTTTAAGAGAGAGAGAGAGAGAGGGGTGTGGCGCGTGCATGTATGTGTGTGTGCATGGTAGAGCGAGCGAGAGTGAAACAAAGCGAGCGAGAGTGAAACAAAGCGAGCGAGAGTGAAACAAAGCAGCAGAAAAATAGGTCTGTCAAGTGTTTCTGTTACAAGAAGAAGAACAGTCAAAGGATGACAGTCAGGAGGTGTAGCTGTCTTATATGCGCGCACATTCAGGTAGGCTCGCCCTGATTGGCCGGCTACGTTTATACAACTTCAGTGTGTGAACGCTCGCGTATCATTGATGAGAGTAGTACCCATAGAGTCCAGTAGAGGGTGGAGCCTGTGTGAGATAGAACCCTTGGTTTTCCAATTCCTGTGCCTTCGTTCCCTCCATTAGCTGTGGAACAGCCGCTGCTGCTCACCGTATTGATCAGTAGACAAACTACAATGATTCAGCAGTCTGTCCTTCCACAACCACCCCCCCCCCTGCAACTCACAGTGTGAACAGTTAACAGCTGCTCAGGGATTATTTAGTTTACAAATGCTGTTTAAGCTTCATACATTAATTAAAAGCATAGACTGTATTTTTATTTAATAAATCAGGTGCCCACTGCTGCATTACAAAATAAATGTATTTAATTAAAGGTCCCATGACATGGCCATTTCTACTGATCATAATTCCATTGTTGAGGTCTACTAGAATAGATTTACATTGTTCAATGTTCCAAAATCACATTGGTTTTCTCATAGAGCATCTCTGTATAGTATGTGTATTCACTCTCTGTCCTAAACGGCTTGTTGGAGCTCCTGCCCCCCCCCTCCCTATGAGCCCACTGTGCTCTGATTGGTCAGCTTGCCCACTCTGTTCTGATTAGTCAACCACCGTTACAGCTGGACATCAGTGTTTATGTGTTACAATGGCGTTTGTTAGCAACCAGAAAATGACACCATTAATGACAAACAGATGAGAATGCTGCGTGGGGTCTGGGTGCCGTGTTGGCGGGACGTTGCGGGGCTCGCTGCTCCGCCCTTTGAGGCTCGAGGAGCGGACAGTGTGAGGTGGATTACTGATGTCGTTTCCTGGTTGCTGCGTGGGGTCTGAGCTCCGCGGGAGTGAGTGTGTGTATGTATGTGCGGAGCCAAACACACACACACACACACACACACACACACACACACACACACACACACACACACACACACACACACACACACACACACACACACACACACACACACACACACACACACACACACACACACACACACACACACACACACACACACACACACACACACACACACACACACACACACACACACACACACACACACACACACACACACACACACACACACACACTCACTCACTCACTCACTCCTGCGGCTGGCTGAGTGAGTGTGTGTTTGTGCGGATTGGTCCATTTGGACCAATTGGTCCAGAGTGACGTCAACCTGCCCTTGAAGAAAAAAATGGAAAAAGAAAAATCTCCAACGAGGCGTTCTGGGGCAGCATAGACAGGTCTTTTCTGTGTTAGAGTTGTACTCGCTACAGGGTGTACTTTGAGGGTTTGTGACTTTGCAGACCGTTTACATGCAGAAAAACCTTCATAACACACAAGGGGACGGGTAATAACCAGAAAAGCATATGATGGGACCTTTAAAATAAAGAAGAATTAAAGTAGCCTAAATATAAACTTTAAAGAAAATTCATTCAGAATGTCTACCTATAAAATATACATTTCAAAATGTATAGTAACACTGTCATCCTGCTAGTAATCTCACATTTTTGAATGTATCAGTAATCTGATTACGTTTTAATGTCTTTGTAATCGAATACAGTTACTTTTTTTTGTAACCTGATTACGTAATCTCGTTACATGTAATCTGGTACTACCTAAACCTGCTACTACAACTGTTCCTATATCTCTTTTGGAACCTTCTAGTGATGCTTTCCTGTGACTGTATGACAGTATGTATTATTATGACTGAGCGTTGTCTTGTCCCGTGTCTCCCTGCTCTCAGACTCGGAGTACTCCCGCACCCTGCTGCAGGCCTGGGTCCCCCTGCTGCCTGCCTGGAGGTGCAAGAAGACGTACGGGGAACGCTTCACCAGCCGCATGCTGTGTGCAGGGAGCCTGTCGGAGCACCACCGGGTGGACAGTTGCCAGGGTGACAGTGGGGGTCCGCTGGTTTGCCAGGGGGAGGGGGGTCGCTGGGTTCTCACAGGAGTTATCTCCTGGGGTCATGGCTGTGGTAACCCTTCCTTCCCGGGGGTGTACACACGTGTTAGCAGGTTTCTGCGATGGATTGACAAAGTCATAAACAAACCCTACAACACCTGATGGCAGGGGCGGACTGGCCATTGGGAATACCGGGAGTTTTCCCGGTGGGCCGGTGCTGTGCGTGGGCCGGAGGGCCAAAAAAACAAAACAAAAATCCTACCGGCCCACATTTGTAAGTGTTCCGGCCACTCCCTTTTTTTTTTTTTTTTGCTTACCTAAATCCTACCGGCCCACATTTGTAAGTGTTCCGGCCACTCCCTGGAGGGGCTGGGCCGTTTTGATAGGCTACCTATGTTCTATCTATCAGATAGTTTCACTTTCACACATCAGGCCCGTAGCAGCTGTCACTGCGCAGTGAACGATCAGGAGTGAGTGACTGATGCCCCTTTCACACCAACACGTTTTCAGCGCCGGCTCGGAGCTAGAGCCTGAAAAGTACTGTTTTTTCCTGTTCACACCTCTTAGCTCCGGAATGCGGTTCACTTCCAGCTCCAAAAAATTGTCGGTCTAGAAGCAAGAGCTTCGGAGCTAAGAGGCGGCGTCGCTTACGTCTCTCTTACGTCGAGGCGTGCAGGAAACTAAACCCACCTCCCCTGAACATGGGTCGACGGTAGAGTCTCGTTATGCCTGCCTACAAGCAGTAGCGCTGAGCAAAGTGACTAGAAGGCAACCACACACTTATAAAAAAAAACACACTTTATAAAGTCAGGCAACACTAACCAGGCTTCGTGTGATTCTGTTTATTTGTACCTTACTTTGACCATCCGTTCGCTGTTATTGATCATTGTGGAGAGCAGGCAGACGTTTTGTTTGTTATTATAGCAGCTATCGGATGGAATCAATACATGGGCTGCACAGGTTGTCATGTCCGACTATCACAAGTAGAATCATAATGAAAAATACGCCGGTAAAATGTGCCTGTAGAAAATGGCTTAGCAAGTAGTCAGTTTAGCTTCGGTTGCTATGCTAACATCACCCATGTTATACCAGAGAAACTTTCATAACAGCGTTGTGATGCCAAACAGCGTCAATTCAGACTGACACACATTCACTCAAAGGTGGGGTAGGTAAGTTTGAGAAACCGGCTCGAGATACACTTTTTGTTATATTCCATGGAATGCTCTTAACATCCCAATAGCAATGAATATCTTAAGTGCTTTGACAAAAAATCCATAAAAAAATATCATCTGTGGAAGCCGTAGTACTGTAAAAAGCACGACCAATCATTTTAGCCGGCCCGGCTAAAATAACTGGATGGCCTACCTGCCTGTCAGCCTTCCATCTGTGCACAAACTTATCTCGTGCCCTCATTGGTCATTTGCGCGTTCGTGTGTGTTGGAGGAGGGGCTCTGTAAGGACGTGGCAGATTTTTTCCGGTTGTGTATTTTCAAATTCTAGTGCACTCGAGCTGGTTTCTCCAAAATTACCTACCCCACCTTTAAGGGGAACTGGGGATATGTATCAGCTGCTTGTGTGACAGTCAGACAGTGAATACTTTAGAGCCGTGTGAGCTAACCCGGAGCTAACGGGAGAATAAACTCCCGTGGAAGAGCAGCCAGCACTGCAGCGGTCGGTAAATGCCGCTGAATAACGTTAATAAACAATGAACCACGGCACTCTGGAGAAAAGCATAAGGTTGGAGAAGTCGTTATTTAATTTAATCTGGCTTCGTAAAATTAAAAGCAACACGATCATCGACCCGACGCAGTCCCCCGTTGTTGTTGTTGTTGTGAGCTCCGTTGGGGAGAAAATCAGCGATGTAAACGGTGACATCATGACGCAGCAGCGGGGTTGGCAGGGAAACGGGGTTCAGGGGGAGTGGCTGTACCCGTAGAATAGAAAAGGGGGAAGTGACGTCTGACTCAGAGGTCGCGCGGCTGTGGAGAAGAACGTGTTGCACACATTCTGTTACTGAGTTTAGGCTAGTTAGCTAGCAGGTATATTGTTTTGGGTGCAGTCACTTTTGCCTCCACTTGCTGTTCAAATAAATGTTGAAAGAAAAAGTAAATCTGTTTACAGTTCTGTTTCATATGGGTGTTGAGAGATGTATCCATAGATTTAGTCCCTAATTTTGCTCTCAAAGTGCACCAGATTGATGCATTCAACTTCAACATTTAAAAATAAATCTTCCCGGGGGAGCATGCCCCCGGACCCCCCTAGAGGAGGTGAGGTCGATACATGCCGCGCATTAAGTGGGCCTGTGTGTCAATTAATCCCCGGGCCACTTTTTCCCCCCAGTCCGCCCCTGCCTGATAGAGGACATGCTCTTACAGCTGGGGAAACACACACTGAGCCCACCTCTTCACAACTCTTACACAACTTTCTGTACAAACATGCAGCAGCAGTAACCTCACACTATGCACTGAGGCCACCAGAACACGTAGAACCCGACCCAGGATCCCCTCTGGGACCAGAACACTGACCACATTTATCCCAACAGAAACACACACAATGACCTTAAACAACACTAAGAACCTGCAGCAACAACACCTAGATCACTTTTGTGTAAAATGATAATTTATTCATTTATGTAGAGTCCAGGTTCCACAACAAGAGGACTGTTCTTTACTGCACGACCTGTGCGCATCAGAAATGAATCAGAATGCTCAATGCGCTTCAAGGCGCTTTGTGTTACCATTTTTGTTTCTTGGTTTACTGTAATTTAATCCAGGTGTAAAAATTGAGATAAAAGTATGGAATTGCAAACTAAACATATTTACTATACATATTTGTGAGCCTTCTCATCCACACCAATGTGCTCACCATCAGCACAACTTCATGCCTGATCCTTTGGGCGCTCTGCTGCAGAGACGTCCAGACAAGCAGCAGAACCGCAGAGAACAGAACTCTGTGGGGCTGTGGAGGGAAACCAGTCTGTGACTGGGAGAGATATAGAGTATCATTATTTCTTTTGAGATATGAATGCGGCAACATGTAGTACATTACAGTCCAGTTTAAGATAGAATAATAAAGTTCTATCTTATCTTACAGTCATTGTTTTTTGTGAACATACATTTAGCAATACAATAAAATAGTATGTGAACTTAACCTTAAATAGTCTTTGATAATATCGTTATTTCTGTCAGGGTGAGTGAAGCAGGCAGGACCCAAATGCAGATTTCACAGAAAATACCTTTATTTCAAGGTTAAATAGTACAAACAGAACACTTCCCTGTAAACACAGTCAAAGACAAACAAGGATCTAACAAAGACAGACAGAAAAACCAGAACTTAAATGCACACAAGACTAATAACACAAACAAGACACAGGTGAGGAGGGAGGAGAAAACACAGGGGCACAAGGTGAACACAATCGGGTAATCAGGCAGGAGGGAACACAGAGACAGAAAGCAACAGGCAAGACGGGGGGTGAACACTTTTCAAAATAAAACAGGAAACCAAAGACAGATCAAGACAAGACAAAACACAACACAGACAGATCGTGACAATTATAATATCTGTGTGTTAGTCATGCTTCCCATGTCTCCCACACTGGGCTCTGCAGCTCATCTGTCTTCTCCTCTATCACTTCAAAAGGTGTGTCCATGTCAGTGTATCATATTCTCACAGTGTCAACGATAGACACATTTCCCAAAACAGGTGACAGCCTGTGTCATAATGTGAGGAACTATGATCCAGCCAATGATTACCTCACAGCATGTGTTCAAAATGTGCTTCATGTAATGATGTCTTGTTTTTGGTTTGACAATCGGCTAAATTGCATTATGGCTGCACAATACAGATCATCATAGGTCCATAGTTCTGGACCTGATCCGCACCGAACCAGTGGAGAATTCTTCCAGAAACCAACATACATAAATATATTGATACACAAATACACGGAGAATAGTACTCATCCAAAGAGGATGTATGGAATAGAATACAGTGCACTAAAATGCATGCCTTACAATCAAACATGGTAAATGTGAACATCATGGAAAAACTAAACATATACTAGCTTCATTAACATTCCAATATGTTTATTAAAAACTGATGTGATAAGGGTGTGTGTGTGGTGTGTGTTTGGGGGGAGGGGTCTGTCTTGGAAAGGGCCAAGTCAAGATCTCTACTGATATTGTGCTTGCAGACATTGATTTGTATTTTAGAATACTGTACACAATGCATGTGTAAAACCAAGTGTATTCATTTTTTCTGTTCTGTTCTGCATTGGCAAATACACATTTCATATTTTATTATTTTTTATTTATTTGGAAAAATACATGAATGTTGACTTCATGAAGCTGTATTTATGATGTAGTAAATGTAACATGGTCACATTCTATGAGGCCTATTGTGAGTAAGCATGCTGCTGGTGATATCATGTGTCTCGGCCACAGGACTCCAGTATTCAACCACACTAACAGACATTGTTAGGGGGCTGTTCTCTGATCAAAATGTAAGCCTTTAATGTTTGGTTGATACAATTCAATATATGTCTCAAAACAATGAATACATTCTTAACAATCCCTCACAGACTTTCCTACATGATCCCTGCTCTATAACAGTGTGACATAACAAAATACTGCTTTATTTGTGAAGTGATTCAGACAATTGTGCTTTGTTCTCCCTCAACATTAAGTTGCTCTTACAGCGACGACACTCAGCACTCCCTGATGCTGCTTTCATGTGAAACAGGACGAGGAAGCATTCAGTTTGCAAATACTGCAGATAGCAAATAAACACAACAGGCCCAGTAAAGGAATTCTCTGATGTATTTAGTCATTTCTACCTGATGAGCACATACTACCATACTATCTGATGAGCACAAAAGTTTCAGAAAGTTGTTTTGCATCCATGTTTTGATGTCAGTGAGGCAGTTGGTGAGTTGGGAGTGGGTGGTTGCAGAAATAGTTTTTGTAGAGAGGTATGACAGAAGCACTATAGAAAAAGAGATTTTGTCTGCTGTGGAAAGCTGCTTGTACTGTAGATGTGAACATGCTTTGGAGATGTGTCCACAGTTGGGAAGAAGGACACATAATGAAAAAAATCCCATTCCTTAAAGAAAATTGAATTAGTTTTGGCTGCCTGCGTAAGGGACACATAAGCAGAGACTGCAGGAAAGGAATGAGATGCAACATATGCAATCTAAATCCCAGAATGATGCACATCTACCAAGAAAGGAAGGAAATGGAGAACGAGCAGGAGGAAATGGAAGAAGCATCTGC